CATGTGGATGGGACTCTAGGTAGCGAAGAAATATGGATGTAATGGAGATAAATTTGAAGATAATTATGAAGGAAAGGTTGGAAACACAAAAAGGGTGTTCAAGACGAGTGATTCAATGGTTAGGAAGAGCACTTTCAATTTAATAGAAGGTAAAGGACACCTTTAAAGACGCACTAATCGGGGAGGCGGGTCAAGGTGTGCAAATTTGGAATAATTAATTAGTTGAGAGGACCCTCAAGAGTGAGGGGGGGGGGATAAAAAATGAGTATGATGAAATTTCCTAAAATTGCTCTAAGTTTGTTCGATCGGGATCGAACAAGCGCCTACATAACTGCATAGATACTTCACGCATTGCGTCAAACACATAGTGCGACTAGCAGCAGTCGGCGTGAAACGCATAGCGCCTACAAGACTGTAGGAATACTTCACGCATTGCGCCGAACACATTTCAGTCAGCGCGGCACTGCGGCAGCGGAAGTTAAGAGTATCAAACCACATTTATGTTTGTTTTTTCGAAATTTTTTCGTTCATTCCTTACAAATGGACGTATTTCTATCATACGGAACTAAGCGCCAATTTGAGTTCCTTTTTAGGAATTTAGAATGCCGAATAGCGCGTTCTGTCAAACGGACCTAAGCGCCATGGAAAAGCATTGCGATGGAACGGAATAAGCCGGACGCCCGATTCCGCCGCCAATCCAAGCCCCCCCTCTACCTTCCTCAACCTATGGCGCTTAGGTCCGTTTGATAGAAATACGTCCAAATGGAAAGCCTTGTCCACACAGAGATAGGTTTACGGAACTTATCTTTCGCGCATAGTTCCGTGAATTTTAGCTGGGAAGGTTGACAGGGCTTTTGCAAAAAATTTGTCCAACACGAGTAAACACGTTTCATGCACCCCTCCCCCCCACCAGCACGTTCAATTGATGGTTTTATTGATGTTTCACAACGAATGAGAAGGGGGCGGCAAAATACAGGTGGCCAATATGGGCGGCAAGGAGGTAAATCCGGCCTTGCCCGCAGTGTAGTAGACCATACACATTTTTGGCTTAATATATTGACAAGAATACGTGACCTCCCGCGAGTAGGGACCCATACTTCACTAACACTCAAAATTGAGTTACAAATTGATATAAAAAATGGAGAAGCTAGGTAGGTACGTATGAATATTTTGAAACAAGCAACTACCAGGAATCTCGAAACAAAGCGGAAGTTCGATGCTTGGCAGTTGAAAAAGCACAGATACGTGGTTTCCAGAAAAAGCTATTCAAAATTCTAATATATCACGCGATTAAGGTGGAAAATCACGGAATTATAATGTGTCTTCATTTTCACTTCGAATTGAACGACGATCATTGTGGGAATTGATCATCAGGCACTATACGCGCAACTATTTAAACTCTTCCGAGCGCATGTTGCCTATCCACCGAAATGAAGGCATTTTGTCGTGCTACGTCTATTCAATGTTCTTACCCCGCTTATTTTCTTTGAACGGCGATAATTTCAGACACTGACCATCAGGCGCTACGCGAGCGAGTATTTTAACTCTCCCGAACGCCGGTTACCCATCCGACTTATTGTAGACACTTTGTCGCACTAAGTCCATGCTTTTGATCTACGTTTCACCTTTGAACGGCGATTTCTTCAAAAATTGACCATCAGGCGCTACGCGAGCAACCATTTTAACTCTCCCGATCGCAAATTGCCTATCTGCCTGATTGAAGGCATTTTTTTACGCTTCGTCTGCAACTACTTTAACTCATTTCTTTAAATTCTTGACAAAAAAAAGTGAACAAATTCACAAAGCGAAGATATTTTTTACAAAAAGATGATCTCATACACCAAAGAAGAAGTAAACTGAGGGATAGATTGAGGGGGCTAGGGGTAAAAAGAGGCCCGGGCTCTGTCCATAAACAAGTTGTAAGAAAAGTGCTGGGTCAACTTTATTATAGGAAGGGAAATGACTGCTAGAAGTTCCAAAAATTAAAATTAGCATTTAACATTCAACACAAAAAAGAGTCAATATTCAATACATTTTGGAAAAATAAACAGTTTTTATTCAACCAGAGGTGCGAATTTACAAAATGTACACGTTATTTTACAATATTTTACAACTACTGAAAAATTCATACGACTTTCAATTGAGTCAGTAATTAATAAAATGCAAATAAAGAATTTTACCAAAAAAATCCTCCCTTAGATCCTGGGATACCCAGGAGGCATCTTGTAATGTGAGGCCTCGATCTCTCTGTATGTGGGACACCAAAGATTTAAAACCTTCAAAAGTTGCTTTGCGAATCAGGTAAGTTACTTTTGCTAAAATTTTAACCTTGAGAACATAGGAAACAAATTTGTTACTCAAATATCATTTAGATATACTTCTACTTAAATTCAAGTCTCAAATAGTTTGAGATATTTGATAGATATTTACACAAGTTTGTATATTCAATGCACATACATGTTCATTTATCAGAGCACTAACACTTTTTTTGCTTACGACTAATTCATGCATTCTTTTCATCAGGTTATAGTCATTTTGCTCTAGGATTTTCTTAGAAACATTCTTAAAATATTTTCAAAACATTCTCTCCCCAGGTGAAGATTCATCTGAGGAATTCGACTGGGAAAGTTTAGGCTTTAATACTGAAAAAGATAATAAATACACCTAGAATCATTTCATTGATCACTACCATTAATTGAACAATGACAAGAGTCTACTCTCTTCTTTCCTCTCTTTCCTTAGTTTTTTTTTTTTTGGTTATTTTCAGCTACAAAAGTTGACATAAAACCCCAAGAGACGCATCGTTAGAAAGATTCAATACATCACAAATACTTAAAAAATGACTAAAAAACATGGAAAATTGAGATGAGTCTTATGTTCATTAAAATATTACATGAATTTACCGCTAATGTACGTACTAGAGCCAAAGGAACTTTGTCTTGCAATATTCTGGAGTTTCAGATGACATTTTATTTATTTACCTTCAGGTCTATGGTAACCTATAATTTTCTTTTAATTTTCTTCTGTGAATTTCCTTCATGACTTTTTACAGATGAAAATACTACAAAATTTTCAATTTGAAACATGCATATCGACAGTGAAACTCTGAAGCAATCTCATTTGGTTTCCAATGTTGCAGACTTCCTGCCATGCTTAATATTTTAAACGGAGAACTGTCAATCTTCAAAACTTCCGTGATTTTCCTTCTTGGAGGGAAGTTTTGTAAAAGGCTGCATATTCTCAAACCATTCAATTTCTACAAGAATGTGCCAGCGCAATTTTCGTCCAAAAAGATTTCTAATTTTTGGAAGAGATCAGAAGAAATCTAAGTGAAATTTTCATTTAGAAATATTCGAGAATCTCCTGGTAAAAAAGTAATTAGCAAGGGGAAATTTTGCACACTGCAATGTATTTACATTCTTTCACGAGGGGAACAATGAAACAAATGAAGAAAGAGGATGTCAGATGAAACTTTGCAATGTTGAGGCTTTGGCTCTGGCTCCAACCCCTGGAAATGATGGTTGAGAACGATTCAGAAGATTTAGTAGAGATCAACATCAATTTTTCGAATCATCCATCGCCCCCCACACAAACATGTCTGAGCCCATCTGGAGTCCCATGCTCTGAGAGCTGCTACTCGAATAACTTGCACTTGAACTAGAGCTCTGCCACCGCATCTGCAAGATAAAGAGACGCATTCTTACAATTCCATCTATGAATAAAAAGGATCTTAGCCCAGGAGAACTGAAAATTGAGCCAAAAAGATTTGAATAGAATTAGCCTAACTACATAAGCCGTTCCTTAATTTTCTCCGATATTTTATTTTTTTTTCAACAGAAAACTAAACAACACTGAGACTTGAAAGTTTGTAGTATATTCTTCATAATCTGGGGTAAATGCACAGAGAATTGAAAGGCACTAAAAAGGCACACTTAATTATAATTCTTATTGTTAAAAAAAGAAAAAAATGAGGGAAAATTACGCAATTCAAAGTGCACTTTAGCTGATTTTTGATAAATCTATGCAGTTATTGATATCAGAGCAAAGAGGAGTGTAATACGGACGTTTTGTGCCCCCCAAAAAAGCCCAGAAAAGTCAAACTGAACCGGACTTTTGGCAAGTATGGATTACAGAGTAAGAAAGATGTTGCATAAAATTAAACCAGGAGGTATGAGGGTTATCCAGAAAGTAAGTTTACCTATTCAATATCTCCTGAATTAAGATACCTAGATAGAGAAAATCTGTAAAAACGTTGAAAAACCACTACACTCAGCTTTCTAATGTGCTATAAATTTTCCAATTTGGTTCCGTAGAACTCTAGAAAAACGGGATTTTTCTGAACCCAACTCCTCTCCTCGCGGATCCAAAATTTCATGGAGCGCCATCAGCAAATGAGTTGCTGTGTCAATCGCTTGTTGCAAGAAAGTGGCTTACGGATGATGGAGGAATTTCGTGTAAAATATGTGGAAGCACTTTTCTAAATCAGGTAAATCCATAGCGCGTTGGAAAGCTAAGAGTAATGGCTCTTCAAAGTTTCTTACAGATTTTCTTTATCTATCTTAATTCAGAAGATATTGAAAAGATAAACTTACTTTTTGGGGTACCCTCGTAAAAAGAATACGCTAGCAAATGTTTTTTGTAAATGAATTTTCAATACATCCATTTTCCATTTTTGATGAATAATTTTTCTGTAGATTAGTTATTGATAGATTCATTTTTAGGGAATCAATTTGAAATGTATCAGAAATCTATTTATTCTTGACACATCAATTACCGATTTTTTTCTTTATTGATTTTCAAATTATGGTTGATATATTGGTCAAAAGGTATGCTGCGGCTTGACCAATTGGAAAAACTTGTGATCAACAAACAAAGAAATAAGGCAGATTTCCTGCTTCAAAAGTTAGGAAAAACCATGTACATCCATTCATACCTGCAACACTGTTTCACTGTCACGGGCTTGGTGCCCAAGAATAAATGTCGAATATGGTCAGCATATTTATTACAGGATGAAACCTCTTCTTGGATTTTCTTGACTTCCGGTACAAATTTCAGGAATTCAGGTTCGACTCCAAACTCCAGCTGAAAAAATGAAAACGAAATTCGAGATTCTTACAAAATATTGAGGTGAAATAGACCAAGTTTGATAGAAACACACCAAATTTTTGGGAATCAAGAGACCGACCAAGTCATGGTTTCCCAATATAGTAGCGGATTGACGCTTTATTTTTTTTGTTTTCTTTTTAATTTTACATGTTAAAAATGAAATTGTTACGTTTTGAAACCATCTTTGTTTTTCATTCAATGTCTGTCCTCTGTTTTAAGAGTTTTTGCCTGGAATATGTTCTTGTTTGAATGTGGAGTTTGCTTGACTAATTCCAATAAGCAAACTTCTCCTAAAAAAAGTCTGCTCCCTTGTAATAAATGGGTATACATGCAGCCTGGGTATTAACTAATTTAGTATGTACTTCCGATGTCTCAAAAGAAAAGAACTCTGACTAAGATGGAGTATTTTGCCAGATATTTGACATAAACCAAAAGTTCTAATCGATGAACTGCCGTGCTCAGGAAGAGCACGGCAGGGGAGGTAAGAGCCTTCAGACGTTACCAAAGTTCCTAAGACAAATCACGAATTTTCGGAAAATTTGAAAATCTCTGTTTGAATGGTGTCTTTGTTTTTTGTTTGTAATTTGATCTAAAGGGTCTGAAAATTTAAAGGAAAATATTGATGGCTCTCTTCAACAACTGATGTTTTAAGAGAGATATTGGGCAAAATTCATATGCTTATGCGCCATTTTTCTATAGTACAATTTATTGTGTAGTGATACAGTATGATTTCTACCTGAATGGGTTGATTTCGTTGAAAAAGTATTGGCGTTGCAATCGCTATCACAGGCTTGGGTCGAAGAATCTCCGAAACACTCACTAAGTATGGTAAGTCACTGCATTCGTCTGGAATAGAGAATTTGAACGTGACAGAACTTTGATGAATTTTGTGTTTAATTCAGAAACTACTGAGTGAACTTAACTCGAGGATACCATTGGTTCATGAATTGAACAATTATTAGAGAAGATATGACAAAATTATCTAATCTGCTAAAATGCGTGTGTTTAAATGGGAAATGCTGCCAGATGACGTCACTAGGCGGTGGCATTTACTCATGTTTAAATCTATTTTTATTTTTTATACTATTCCCCATGGCAGAAAAAAATTATAAAAAATACTGTGAAATCAGCTTTTTAAACATTTTCAGATGGAACAATAAAAAATTTGCATGCAAATTGTTCATGAGAGAAAGTATTTCTTGAAGAATCTCAACTCCTCTTAAAGTAGCAAAAGAAAAAGGAATAAATAAATATGTACAATAAATAAACATGTTTTTTAAGTTTTTTGAGAAATTAAGGAGGTTATATTACAAAAAGTTTTATTTTTCAACAATTCCAAATGATTGGTGATTAATAATTGCAGTGAGCTTTTGTTTTCCCACCCGTCAAGAAGATAAGACAGATGTAGCAAATCAAATTCCTTCGAATTGTGGCACAACGTCTAGGCATACATAACAACAGTTTCAAATCTCCCTGAGAAAAATTGCATGTAAGAAGATGGAAAATTTTACTTTTCAGTCCCGCTTTCGTTTACACTGCCACAAAAAAAATCCGATTGCAAAAGCTCTTCTTGCTCAGGAGATTGCAGAGAGCATCATAATAAATAAAAACGCGAAATTCCTGCAGGGTTCTTAAATGCCACCCTACTATCTTGTTCAGGGTTTTCAAATCCCTTCCCATACTTGATTATTTAGAATAAGAGCACATAACTGTTATCACTCAAAATTCTGAGTGAGTATTTGGAGTTCATAAGCAGTTTTTAAGAATCAGAGGCTTGGTAAGACCTTTCAAGATTTCACAAACAATTTTTGAGAATTTTAAATGATGTACCTAAATTAAAATTTTAGAGGATTCAAAGAGGTCCTTGAAAATATTCATAGCACTGGCTACCTCAATAAACAAATTTATAGTGACGATAGACTTTAAAGAATTTTAAAACACAACTACGCAATGTCTCAAAATTCAAGAATAATAAAGGACTAAAATATTAGAAAGGAAAAAATTAAGGATATTCGAAAGCTTTTTTAAGATGTCATGAACCTAGATGATGTACACATTTGCCAAGATATTTAGACGTTAGGAGAAAATGTCTAAAAAAATGTAGATGTTCTTACCTAATAACTGTTCATCTGGTTCTGAGCACTGCACATAGCGGGAGAGGAGTTTGAAAATCAAGACTAATACATCAAGATTTTCTGCAGTTTTTGAAAATATAGGTAAACAACTCTGGTTTAGTAAACCCCATATTCTTATTATAGCTAACAGTTCTCTTAAAACGTTCAGAGCTTTCAAATCCGATAAAAGCAGGTCATGCTGAAAAAAGAAGAGTTGCGGTCAGAAACAGCTAAACAGCAAACTTCATCAAATTGATAAAATATAATACAAAATACACTTGATGAGATAAATGAGCATTGGGACGAAAATAAAGACCAACTTTGCATATCATACTTTGGTGGATCATAGACGACCAATTTTTTTTCGTTTGAAAAGAAAAAATGCAATAAAAATGATGTAATAAATTTTAAAATTTTTATCTCATGCTCAATGAAGTCCATAGTTTGCTCGAAAACAAAACCAAAGAGTGAAATTTGATTCAAAAGCAACAGATCAAGAAGCAACTCTTACTCCGGGTAGTTTATGATGTTCAGGTAATCGTGCTAGGAGACTTAGAGCCAGATCGGCCACCCACTGAATTAGCTGCTGCAATGCTTGAAGTGTGGACGGTTCAACGGTAAACTCTTTTGGCTCCAGATGAAGAAGCACTTTGTCTACGTCTGTCAATTGCTCCGACATCAATGCTGTAAAGAACATCCAAGAAATTTAAACTATATTTTTACACAGTGTAGATATTAAAACAACTTCAATTCAAGAGTTGTGAGCTCTGGAACATGCCTTGGAATTGAAGTCTATTGCACATAAGAAATACATATGTATGAACAGACTTTTTAGATGTAAAAACGCACAAAACTCTAAATGTACACATCGAAGGATGCTCTATTGGTATCTGATATGCTGTTAAAACAGTCCCCTTAAAAGTAGAAATGATGAGAGCAGGGTTGCCACAGAATTTGGGAGATAAAATTCCAAGATATTTCCCTGATTTCCCAGACACATTTTTGTAAAATTCCCAGATAATTGAGGGGTTGCCAGATGGTTAAAAAAAACCGGCGCTCCGCTTCGCTCCGCGCCGGTTTTTGGGGGGGCTTCGCCCCCCCAAGCCCCCCCAGGACGCGCGCTTCGCGCGCGTTTTTCAGTTTGAGTGTCCGGCCTCAGTTGTTCTGTCTTTAAGTGACCCGCGCGTCCACCGCGGGAAGAGTGTATTTTCCGAAGGGAGGGGAGGGGGTGGGGAGCTATCAATCTTTGGAGGTTGGATCTACGTTTACACCGTTGGAGGCATTGATTATTCGAATAAGGACTTCATGTCGCCAGATTGTAACAACAATCCTCATATAATATCTGATATGAAAAAATGTCAACAAACGCTGTGGCAAGCTTGAATGACGATGGATGAATCTCCATAACCCACTGTGCGACAACATTGCCGTTTTGTCCAGCAATTATCAGTCTGTAACCCACTGTGCGGCAATATAGCCATCAGTTCATCAGTTCGTGACCCATTGTACGACAACATTGCCGTCTTATCCACCACTTTTCAGTTCGTGACCCACTGTGTGACAACATTGCCGTCTTGTCCACCAATTTTCAGTTCGTGACCCACTGTGCGACAACGTTGCCGTCTTGTCCACCAACTTTCAGTTCGTGACCCACTGTGCGACAACATTGCCGTCTTGTCCACCAATTTTCAGGTCGTGACCCACTGTGCGGCTTCCCTCCTTTTGCCGCACACCCCCCGCCTAAAACTTTCAAAGCTCGCCATTTTTAAACGGCTCGACCGATTTCGCTCAAATTCAATACCAGCCTAGAACTAAGTAAGATCTTCCTTCTGTAAAAATTTCGGGGGGAAAGCTTTTAATTTGCGCGAGTTATCGCGCCCACAAAATTGAACCTCCCCCCACTTCTCGCCCCCACCATTCGAAATGTAATACTTCGATCTCTGTTTTTTTTTCGCAGAATGGTAGTCCTGTTCCTCTTCTTTACATCGCAAAAAGTTTCATTCGGAAATGTTTTAAAATGAGGGAAATATAACCAAGCAAAAATCGGAAAAACCACGATGAGTCGGAAATACATACATAAATAAACAGATATATAAATAAATATATATATATATATAAACATGAATTCAAACGGCATGCATATTCGTAATCTACGACCCATGATCGATGCTCATTACATGGTCTTTGGTCCAGATCTGACATTAGGGGAGAACGCAATAGTGTATTTCCTTCGGAAAATACACTAAAAGACATAATTTGAAATAGTTTTCAGACAAAATATTGTTTGTAACATCACATCCATTCTAGATGACAAATAAAGGTGACTTAACAATTAAATTTTTCCCTAGATTCCCAGGTTTTCCCTGACTTTTCAAAATACCCCGCCATTTCCTGGTTTCCCCAGTATTCCCTGTTTGTTGCAACTCTGTAAAAGGCCTCTTGCCCTTGGCTATCAGAATTTTCAGTCCTCTCCATAACGGCCTCAACTTTGAGAGCTTCATTGAGCTGACGAGTTGGGTTCAGAGAAAACCACTAGTGCTATCTTGTTTTTTGCAAACTTTTACAGAAGGATAAGTACTTAAATTGCAAATCTTTGCCACATTGAAGGGCTCCATTTGAGCCCAAATGATTGGAGTAAATCAAGGCAATTATATTTTTAACCTGCATCAACGTATGACACAAACCTGCTACACTCTCCGCAGGTCCTCTATCAGGTGATGACAAATCTGACGGCCTCAGAAGTGACTTGAAAGCAGTCGAAACCGAATAGAGCATGAGTAACGACAATAAATCGCCAGCTTTCGTCTGACCGCTGAGCATCATACGGCACAATGAGGATTTAAAGCTGATAAGACTTAAGAAGTAGTATTGCTGGATTGCAGGAGGCTGCCTTTTGAAATTCTCGGTCAGCTTATCATAAATGGGTTCCAGAAGAACTGGAGGGAGGGAGATCAACAGGTCGAACCAATCGATGCCTGAGACTAGACAGAACTCTAGCTGTGTTGTTGCCGAATTTACGGTTAGTGGTCCACCTGAGGACATAAAATGAAAATTGATAAGTGATGTTGCTACAAGGAAAGAGCTGTTAGCAAAAAGCAAAACTATGACTGAAACAGTTAGTTTTTCGGCATATGTATGGTGAAATTCAGTTTAAAACTAAAATTCTCATTAAAAAGGGAAAAACTCATGCGAGGAAAATTACTTGCACCGAACGGCACATCTCTCTCAGTGAAATTTTACTGAAAGAACTGGACCAAGACTCAGTTCCATTACGTGGGTAGCACTGATTTTTTGTCAGCAGCCTGATTGGTGAAACTTATCTGGCTTTGTCGGCAAGATAAGAAAAACCAAGGCCCTATCTGCGCTGTGTAATAAATCGATTTTCGATTCTTGTTGTAACAGCATAAATTTCAGCAATCAGGCGGCAGAACAGAGCTAAATTATAAAATTATGGTGGGTTATTACTTAGGTGTTCTGGGACGGAATGAAGAACCAGGGAGCTTGTTCGTATCGATTTCACAGGAAAGCACTGATATTTGTTCAGATTTTAAGTATTAAGGTGTTTTACATTTGTAGTATTTTCCAAAAAATTCCCTGATTTATCCCTGACCTGATAAAATTCTCTAATTATTTCCTGATTTTCAGTTTTTTAGACCTGTAGAGACGTTGAAATTTACACCAAAAATGTTTACCACCAAATTTTTTTTCATTTTTCTTTTGCAAAAAAATGAACTCAATCGCTTGCACTTCATCTTTGAGATACTAGAGAGGATATTTCATTGCAAACTCAAATCCTGATTTTTTACCGAGCTTGACTAAAATCGCTCTTCTAAAAGAATTCTTTTTATGCACTGATTTCCCTGAAAATCATCTCATTTATAAATTGACAAATTATTTTAGTGACAGGTAACTGGTTTAAACCATTTTTTGAAAAAAAATTAGGTGATTAATTCTAATATTTTATCGAATTTGAAAGCTGTCCAATCCCAGTTCCTCAGCATTTTAAAAATGACAAAAGTGATGACGGACCTGATTCAGCATTAGGAACTATGCGGAACAGCGAGAGCTGTCCCATGGAATCGACGACAACGAGTAAGTTTCCTAGCCAACTCAACTCCATTGAAGTTACACGATTGTCTTGTCGGCTCCTTTTTGAGTTAAGCGGATCCCATGAGCCTGGCTGCCGATTTAAATTACCTTGCGAGATCTGCAAAAGAAAAAAATATTTTTACTGACGAACCCAAAAAAATACCATTTTGACAATTGGTTGACGAACTTGCTATGAAAGCCAAAATTTCAATTCTCAAGTGCTCTTGATTTCCAAACGCATCAATTCAAAAAGGCAGAATTTAAAATACAATTAAAAAGAGATAGATCAGTTAACAAACAATGCAACTCGTGGATCGACCGATAATTGGGCCACTGTTACCATGTAGTTTCCAGGCTCAGACTGCTAAATTCTGATTGCAATAGGATATATTTTTCACTAGTATAGTCATCACAAGCTATCACATCTGTAACTGGTCTGAAAATCAGATTTTTTATCACAAAATTGAGGGGCTTGGAGGACAAGGCACTTAAGTATAGTTACTGATATTTCAAGAAATACCTATGAGTTTAAAGTTTCAAAATTCCATGGAACGTGATGGCGGAAAGAAAGTTCGACTCAATTTTATACCTATATTTAGAAATTGGATTTTTGTGGTGAGTTTTTCATGGAATATAATCAAAAACTAGTTTTATTTGAAAACATGAATACATCAATTTTTTCAAAAGCTGCACTTATGCGCCTCGTTTTCGATGCCCCTCAAGTATTTTCCTCAAAACAAGGGATGAACCAAACTTTTTTTCTGCCTCAGACAATATGCCAGGAATCATACAAATATAAAACAAAAAAAGAGAAAGAACACAAAAAATGCCTTGATTACAAAATTTCAAGCAGAAAAATCTCATCACTGACCTTTTTAATTTTTCTTGGCTCCCGTTGGAAACACTGAACTGTCAGGTCACTGAAAGCTACAATTATGTTTGCTGATGATGATGAATTGGACATGCAAAGTTTAGATGTTGTGATACTTTCAATTGCGAGGTCTGATTGGTATGAAGAAGTGTAATCCCACAGCTAGAAGCGTGAACAAGGAAAAAAATCATAAGAGCAACATGACACATTACTTATTGCAGTTGAGCAGAAAAGCATCAAGAAATAAAAAAACGTAAGACAGTCGGTTGAGTAAAGAGTGACTTCTTTAATAGATTTGAAAATTATCTGTTCACAACCATCAGCTAATACGCTGACTTTTTACCGCTCCTCTTAACAGAAAATAGATTGAAGACTAAATAAAATGAATTATGCAAATGACTTAGAGACAAAGACTTAATGAATGAAAAATTATAAACAAAATAGAAATTACAAACTCAGCCCAGATGGGCATCTAAAGACAACGTGTTTGACTAAAAAATAGATCAATACAATCCTTGCTGTTTCGATGTGCGAAAAAAAGTTTGTGTTTAGATCTACCTAAACTAATTTGTTTTATCATGTGAATCGAAGGTTGTCTTTTTGATAAGCTGTCAACATTTTCTGAACAAAAAGAGCATTTTACAGGAGGAAACATTTACCACAGGACCGCATGGTGTTTGTTTTGAGAATTTTCAAAAAGATTGTTCAACATGACGGAGAGTAGTTGGATGCACGAGTCATTTTGACATGAATGTTGAAGATTTTTGCCAACCTGAGTTATAATTCAGTATTGAATTGAAAATCTTATTATAGAGGGTAAAAGCAAAATGTTCCCCGCAGAGAAATGCTGTTTGGAACAACACTAGTGTGACCAATCAGGAAGGAAACTGCAGACACATTTTAAGTCTAATTAAACACATCATCAGTGCAGCCCAGCCTCCTGATTTTCTGTTTGTGTCGCGAAGCGGTCGAGAAAACCAGACTGAGAGGATTCTTCTTATTCTTCCTCAAAATTTTTTCTCGTAAATATTCTGAACAAAAAATGAGTACATACATAAGTTTTACTGGGTTCCTCAGTTGTTTCATCCAATGTGCAGGTGGACGAGAACATGGAATGGATATTCAGTTTTTTCTCCGATAATTCCCATATTTCAAACAATGAGCCAGTTTTACCGTTAGCTGCCACAACAAGAGAATCGGCATCCTCTCTGACAACAAATTTCAGCGACTCAATGTTTGTATCTGAGAGGAATAAAGAAAACGTAAATTTTATAAAAATGGAGAAGAAATTACAAATTACTACAAAAGTAGACTTCAACCTCCCTGACATTGCTGCAAATTTAAAAATGACCTTTTAGATTTTTCATCCAAAATCTAACTCTTGGCACTACATATCTCTCACTTGAGCGCTTCACAGTTATGAATTTACGCACTTCAATTGTTCCTTTATTACACTAATTTTTAAGTAAACTATGGTTTAAATTCTTTTATTTTGTGATACTTTGTCATTTTGATCCACGCTTCACATCTCCTTGCCATTTTCCGGATTTTTGTTTTTTTCTCTTTCTCCTCAAAATTTGATACTTTATCAAATTTTATTTGGTTGATATCTGACATTTTAGAGGCTCATTATACTGAAAGATAAAGTACTTCACATAAACACGCTTCTTGATTGAAAACTGTGTGAACCATGAAGTAGACTGAAAGATAACGGATGAAAACTTTCTTGCTGAGCAAAATAGAGATCTCAGAAAAGTAATTTTAAAGGAAACCTTTCGGATACTTAATATCAATGGGAAACTTACAAACATTATCAGCTCTGGAAGAAGCGCGGAGATGAAAACTTGGTAATGCTTGACTTGTAATGTGACACTTTTCATCTATGAATTGAACTGATACACGATAACATTGGATGGCACAATTAGCGCTCCCGTTGGATACCACCACGATGAAATGCCCATCTGGAAGAGAAATTGAATCATAGATTAAAATCTTGGCATGATTACCACTTCTTTAATAAAAAAAATCATATTTAAAATATTATTGAATGTTACTGTAAAGTAACAACTTGATAGTGAAACTGCAAATCGATTACAGTATTTCCAAACCTCCGCTCCTATTCTTTTCTTTTCAAAAGAGATCGAACCACCATTTCAGCGGAAATTTTCAGGAAATATTCTTCTTACAGAGAATAAAAAATTGCCAAAGTTTTCAAAAGATGACTTTAAGTAGTTTTTCATTTAGAGAATAAAGTATGACAGGAGGTTTGCAGTCCCACGAACTAAGATTTCGGCAGTTTCGTCAACGATGTGTAACTTGATGTGGTAAAGTATTAAAATGTGTCCTTACTCTTGCCATAGCAAACATCTACTAGAGAGATGTTCAGTTTGTTTGGGCCGAGAATTTCGGACGACTTGACCAATTCATTCTCGTGAAAAACAATTGCGCTAATTATTCCTGCTGTGCTAATCAGCAAACAACCGACCATTGAACAGCCACCTGTCTGTTTTACTGATGGTGAAAACCTTAAAAATCCAAATTTGTCTGTATACGTTACGGCATCTTTCTTGTCTGCAAACAATGTCATCTGAAATATGAAATAGAGTAGGAATCAACCATAAAGTTTAGCTCAGAAATACATATTGACGGCCAAAGGGCAAAACCACAGATCTCTATTGCAATCATTTAACATTTCTGATCCCTCTTCATTTTTCATAAGATTAATAGGACAACTTTATAGCTTGAAATTGGGACAGAATATTAGCCTATCAGAGAAGAAAAACCAAAGGAGTTTTCAAGAAATTATGCTGACTAGTTTTGAGGGTGCAGAAAGTGCTAAATCAGCCAATCACAGGCCGAAAATGTGAAGGCACCTGGAAAAAAGGAGCAAAAAATGTGAAGGCAGAAGGCATAAGCCAGCTAAGCACTAGCTAGTTGCTTAGAAAACTTTATAACACGCTCTCTTGTGCAAAGAAAATAGTGAAGCGCCCCTCTTTTATGCAAGGTGCACAAGTCTTATGTGGACAGCAATAAGAGGGCAACCTCAAAAAATGTGAAGGCTGCTTCCAAAAATGTAAGGTCAGGAAGAGCGTTTTGCACTTCTGACTAGTTTTCCACAAAAAAAAGTATGACGGGAAGTATGCACCCTGTAATCATGACCTCAGTGATCTAGAACCTGATGCATATATCATAATAAATCTCTTCTTCCAATGGTGTCAAATAAATCTTATGGATATGAACCTATGTAAAACCAACTTTATAATCTGCAATCAATAAAAAGTAGTGCAACTTTCAACATATCTGTCGGTGAGAGTGAAATTGACAGGGTGGATTCCCTGAAATACCTTGGCCTTTTATTGGACATGAGCATTCTTTTAAATCTAATATTGAAACAATAAGTAGCAAGCTTAATGCCTCCATTTTTGCTTTCAGATCTCTTGCCAAATACTGTGACACCAACATCATGCTAACAATTTATCATGCACTCAAGATGTCTTACATTAATTACTATTTGCTCAGCTGGTCCTTATGTAACAAAAGAAACCTTGAAAAAAAAAATTTTGCAGCAAAAAAAAAAAGCAATTAGAATAGTTTTAAAACTGAAAAGGGACTATGGTATAGGGAGCCCAATTATTATTATTATGCAAAGTTGCAAACAGAGATATGTGGTTTCCCACGTCAGCCATCGACATATCATAGACACATAATATATAATCCCTATGATTTGACTTTGTCTTACATGGCCTTTGCCTTTGACAGGCAAGAAAATTTAATCATGTGACATTTTGTGGACTCAATTTACTAAACATACTGAGGGAAAGATAAGTAGGTACAGATTTTCCTCCGCAAATCAAGATATAAAACATTTTTTTCTTTTGACTTCCAGTGGATCCTAATAAAAGCTTTCAAATTGATTTAACCTGAGATACAAAAAAAAGTTATTGAACATTAATTAAAAGAAATGCTAGAAACTCAGTAAAACTGGTTTCATCAGGAAAAGAAAAGACAAGAACTTTTCTTTTTTCTGTATTTTCTAATATACCAGACTACAATGACCCTGCATTTTCCATGAGTAAAATTTCAATATTTAACAATTTTTCAGACAGGTTTTCTATATTTCCTTTCAAAAAGGAAACTTTCTGATGGTGAGTATACATTTCACATTTCATTTCGAAAAATTGATTTGTAGATAAAAATTATTGTGATGGTGGCATTCCTAATCTGGATTATAATTTAGAGGTATTCATCTTACTTTTTTGCCATTGTGGAAAAATGTTCCACCAATAATGTATTCTCCATGGAATGACACAGTTCCAACGCAAACCCATTCATTTAGCGAAAAATCTTTGAATTCCCAGATACCCACTTGACCAGATGCATCAGCAATCAACAGTAGAAGTCCGCAAAAATCCCATTCCAAAGCAGTCACAAACATTTCACAAGAAGTTACCCTGAAATCAATGACTGCCAATATTAATTTTGGAAATATTGAAGTATAAGGAGAAATCATGATTGAAACTTGGGTCATGCACTGAAAAAGTAAGAATCTTCTTACCTGAATTTACAAAAAGACCTTAAATTTTTGCACACTAAAGAATTTCCCATTGCAGGATCTGTGATACAAAAATGGAAACTATTTTTACCTTTGTCAAATCATTGATAAAGGAATAACTAAAAATGTTTTAAGGTTTTAAGGAGAGGGATTTCAATTGTAAAAATTTAAGTAAGTTGGGTAGCGGGAAAATTTCATTATTGCTATTATCAAAAAGAATAGTTTCTGTAAACCTGAAAAAAAATTTCAAATCACAAGAGGCATCAAATATAATTCATAAAAGCGAAATTTATAAAAACTGTACTGTGTCTATCAAAAATTAGAAGTGCAGGTACATTAAAAAAAGTCTGTGAAAGAGAGCAAACTAAAGTCATCTTACTTGTGATGATGCCATGGGACATTCAGATCTGCTACATAAACGTTGTACTCAGACGGTTTGTTACTGGAATCGTCTAGATCAACATGTGTGCTCCATGCAACGACATTTCTGGTTGATAAACGAACTATTGATTTTCCTTCGATGAACCTGAGCAAAAAAATTAAGGTAAGTAACTGGTTGGAACTAAAAGCACAGAACATACTTAGATGAAAATGAAGAGTATTTGTCCTTACAGAATGATTTTGAATACAGCTTCTTCCTCCCACTATGCTGGTGCTAACATTGTGGTAAATTTAACATTAAAGGCCACAAGGTTTTAACAATGGGTATTCGTTCTTGTGGCGCTAGGATAACATGCAAAAAGGGGCAAACTTAACTGAATAACTTAGAGGCTGAGATTTGAGCCTCATCAAGATGCAATGATTTCCCCATTTGATCGCTTTTTGGGTTGTTACTTTTAAAGAATTCCACATATCTCGCAAAGTTCACCACTTAAAGCAGTGTATCAACGTGAGCATTTTTGTTTATTATAAAACAGGATGCAATTGATAAGTGGTTGGTGTGAGGAACTGGAAAGAATTACCTTAAACATCGGTTCTCAAAACCCTCTACTTTTGGAGTCGGCTTGGAAAAAATTGAATACACCAACTCCATGGTGTTGCGATTCCAGAAGAGATCCAATGCGACTGCTGAACACTAACTTAGGATCAGAAGAAAAACAATGATATTAAATGAAGCACTGTATCATTACAACTTCAGACGAGATTAGTATAGACTAAGAGCACATTCCTCTTTAAAATTTAAGTTACTTTGAGACAATACAATCGAAAATTCACAAAAAGAACGGGCAGCCAGGGGCAGCGGCGGCGATTTTGCTGATTTTTTGTTTTATTTACAAACAGTCAAGCCTTTCAGGTTATGTTTTTGGCGCTGTTGCCAAAATGTCTTAGAAACTCAAACACTCCTTTTTAATTAATTAACTTCAAGAAAGGGAAAATTGAATTTCATGTCATTTAGCAATTTTTTCATTTTCTTTTGTGTACTGGAGCTGATGAAAGAAGTAGTTAAATCCAAGGCTCTAGCGGATATTTTTATACCAGGGCCCAATAACTATTTTGAAAATAGTCAGCCGGCAACGTCGATTTCTTATCAGTATGTTTACATTTTGTTCAACAACACCGAACCGACCACGAAGTGCGAAGTGTTGTCACAGTTGTTAATGTCGTACACTTCCATGTGGCTTTCTTATAAGTTATTTTTCAATTAATTAACTGCAACACCACTACACATAATCATGGCTCGTAAAAAAGTAACAGTGGTGGTGTTGGGAGATCTTGGGCGAAGCCCAAGGATGTTATACCACGCTCAGTCTCTCGCTAAAGAAAATTTTGAAGTTCATCTCGTTGGCTTTGCAGGATCAACTTTACCCAAAGCAATCGGAGACTCTAACAATATCACTGTCCATTATCTTGCTCCATGTCCAGATTTCCGTTCTTGTAAGTTTTCCTCCTTATTTATCCTACGGTGTCTTACCAAATCATATAGATATATACCTCGGAAATCAATGCCATGGTACCTAAATTGAACTCATCAAAATTGATCAGAAGTATTGTTTTTTGGACCCTTAAAAACATTTAAGTGAGCTTATGCATCTTTTTACATGTATGTGACCATTCAGTTTCATTACCTAATTCCCTGGAGATATTGCACAAACCTACTTTTTTCAAATGCTCTGAACCTCCAAAAAGTTGAACTGTCTGAATTGCGCTTCAGACAGAGCAGTTATTAGTCACTCAGGACCATCCCATGAATGTTGTTGTGTACAGCTTATTTTTGCCTTTCTTGTATTTCTATATACTTCAATCAGTATTTACTGCTGGTAGGCAAGGTTTGTAAGTACAAGCTGTAAGTATAATTAATATGAACATGTTTTAGGCATGAGTCGGAGATATTTGCAATTTCTAATGATTGAACTTCTCAAAAATTTTCAGACTTGCCTCTCCTGATCGCGTATCCTATCAAAGTGCTTTGGCAGAGCTTTGTCTTATTTTTATCACTGCTCCTGATCGGTCGAACCTCATTCGTACTGGTTCAAAATCCTCCATGCATTCCAACCATGCCTGTTTGCTGGTTTTTTTGTCGTCTAATGCAGTCCTGCTTCATTATTGATTGGCATAATTATGCTTATACAATTCTGGCGCTTTCTCTCGGCCAGCAACACAAGTTAGTCAAGATTTCCAAGTGGACAGAAGAGTACTTTGGCAGAAAAGCAGATGCGAATCTATGTGTCACTAAAGCCATGAAGGAGGACCTAGCAGAGAAATGGGGAATCATGTAAGTTTTCTACACCTACATTAAACTCATTGACACCTTAAATGAAAAATTATAAATTTTAACATTGACAGAATAGATGTAGAAATTAAGTATTATGCTGATAAAAACTGTATGGAGCATCTACCAGTTTTTCCTTTTTTTTCTATTTGTTAAATTGCTGAATGAATTCTTTTACGAAAAACAGCAGCTCAATTACCATTCTTTATCTTTACTGTACTTTTGTGGTCAGCAGGGTAACATTTTAACAGTATATTCAACATATGATCCTACTCTTAGATCTCATGAAAAAACCCCAAAATTTGTTCAAAAGTTCAAAAAAGCACTTCAAGTGGGAGAAAAAGCTGATTAACATTTGATGGACAGTCGTGATGACTTAACTACATACATCATGTCTTCAGGTAGGCTTCAGGCAGTCAACAAATGTCGACTTCCTTGCTTCCCTACGACAAAACCCCTTATGACAAACATCCAAAAATATTGTTTTTTATGGATCCAGATTTTGGCAACTTCAAAATAGATTTTCCCTGTTAATTCAAAGCAAAAAGATTAAAAAAATTACTGGGATCTCAAGTCATTCAGTATTTTAAAAAAATGAATTTAAAAAATACTTAGCCCTTGCTGACCCATTTGGCTGCACACACAGTTCCATCATACCACCTATTCAGCCTTCTACTGGGATGTTTGAAAAATAATTTTTTTGACCCTTTTAATCCGAAGGATGGTTTGTCACGTTGCAAATGCAACCTATCAACAACCAGGGCAAGTTAAAGATAAACTCACTGCCAATGTATAGCACCAATTATTAATTATTAAATTATTTACCAAATACTTTCTATGATCAGCCATACACCTGCCTGAGCAGAAAATTTGGTGTTTGCTTTCAGCTGAGGATAGCTCAGAAACGCGTACCAATAAAATTATTTCTAGTGCAAATGAATACGCAAAATTTTTTAATTCATTTTATATGCACTACTTACTAGGTCATTTTTTTCACAGAGCAACAGTCCTGCATGATCGCCCAAATGATGCATTTAATCTTATCTCAGATGAAGGGAAATCTGACAGATTTTCTGTTCGATCCATGTTAAGGGACAAGTACATGGACTTAGCAAAACTGAAGGAGAAACTCCCTGTTTTGGTTTCAAGCACAAGTTGGACGCCAGATGAGGACTTTTCCATTTTACTTCAAGCACTTCAAGGTTTGCCTCAATTTTCTACCATCATACTAGGGATATAGAAAAAGCAAGATTCTTTTATTAGCTACGGGCAATGTAAAATACAGACATTGAAAATCCTATAGATTAGTAGGAATAGTGTAAGTAGCCGTCAAAGTTAAATAGAAGAATCGTGAGGATACCTACTATAAAAGAGGCATGCATTTTTTTCTTTCTTTTTTACATTCAATGCTTTAAATCTATACATTGCATTTATTTTTAAAAAAATTTTAGCAAATATTTTCAAATAAATTGTACCTTTACTGTTATCTAAGTTCATAATTTTTAGCATCAATTTTGTTCTTTTGTAGCCTCAGTCTGCATTACTGGGCTGGAGTAAAAACTTCTTAATTTCTCACAAATTCTTGCTTCACAGGAGTTTGCAAATTCTCTTTTTTTTTCCTCTCACTCATTTTTGACTGATTAAGCATCGATGAACTTTTAATGGAAAAGATGAATTTTTTCTATTCTAGCCTATGATGAAGATGGCCCGTCAGAGATGTTATGTGTTATCACAGGGAAAGGTCCAGAAAAAGACTATTACAAGGAACAAATAAGAAATCGGCAGTGGAAGAAAGTCAGTATCGTCACCCCATGGCTTGACGCAGAAGATTATCCTTTATTGTTAGGTATAACATAATGATCAATCAATCAATCATGAACAAGAGAAGTGTATCATTTTTACCACCAAGTTTAAAGAGTTTGTCCCCTCAAAAAGGTTTTTATGGGTTTTTTTTTTTTTATTTTTGTAATTTTACTTTGAAATTAATCGTCAGGTACACCGTTAAAATGGTATGCCACTTACCCATTTTCAGACCAATTCATGTGACAGCATTCCCAAGAAAAAAACATGTTTATAGAAATACTGAAACTGTGCGGATCAGTGATGTTCTTTCATGCGAGGGATAACCAATCATCAAACATTTTGCGACAATGTACAGCGTTAAGAATCAAAATAGTAGGATAATTTAAAGCACAACCATACGGCAGCCCAGCTAGGAGCTTCCTGTAATTTTTGCTCACATGGAAAGCTAATAATCTTGCATGCAAGGACAAGGTTAAAATGATGACTACGGTGAGCCAAAAACCTTAGTTAGCTTTTAAAACCAGGACATGAAGGAGAGGGGGTTAAACCTGCCACAGGTGCTATTTTCGAGGTTTTGTGTCATATTTGTTAGGTACATGAGCAGTTTTCCCCTAATAAGTATAACATTTTCTATTTTTTCAGGCGTTGCAGATCTAGGAGTGTGCCTGCATGCATCCTCTAGCGGTTTAGATTTACCTATGAAGGTAGTTGACATGTTTGGATGTGGTCTTCCAGTATGTGCCCTAGATTTTAAGTGGTAAGAATGATTTCTGCCTACCTATTTCTCTGTGTTCACAGCAAAAAAAATGTTTCGTTCGTTCTCATATGTTTGTCATCCAATATTTTCCTAGCTGTATTGATAATTTCTCATTTATTATTCTTAAGTCTCGTGCAAATATGCCCTCTCAGTAAGTCATGAGAAACTATAAGGTTCTGTCGAACAGATTCTGTATTGTGTTGATAAATTAATTAAATCAACGAAAGTCGTGAGAAAGTCTAAAAATCGCTCCAAGTTCTTTTCCCTTTGGAAATAATTGAATTCAACTGTTTCAATTCAAGCCATTGATGTGTGAGAGAGCATTGAATACAATTGACCAAACATCTTCATGAATTATCAAAAACTAGGTGCTTGAAAAGCCAATTATTGCACATTGTGGTTTTTCTTAACTTTTGACTTTCCCATTTTGACCATATCAAAAACATGTATATGACTTATGCCTTCCTCATTATTCTGCCAAACAGCCAAATTTATACATCTTTTGTTGCTTTTCCCCTCAGTTTAGGCGAGCTGGTGAGGCACGGAGAAAATGGTTTCGTGTTCAAGGATTCCTCTGATCTTCATCGCCAAATCCTAAACTGGTTTAGAAACTTCCCATCTTTGCACCAAGATAATCAGCTCATCAAAGACAATGTGAAAACATTCAGAAAAACAATGTGGCATGCTAATTGGTGCAGCAATGCTAAACCTTTATTTTCTTAAATTAATAGTTTTTTTCTCAAGTATTAGAGCTTGGAAATGAATTTGATGAGAGACTGAAATTCATTGCGCACCCAGTAAGTGAATGTGTGTAGCAAAAAATTTGATAAGTAAGCTTAAAACTCTTGTCTTGTCACTTTGTCTGCCTTTCTTTTTCAACTATCTATTCGATTTTTCAAATCAAACCAGCAAATATTTCCCAGAAGTCACAAAACTCAAATTGAGTGTAGTACCTGTATTAGTAGAGAATCACCATGAAGCGGTCGGTTTAAATTGGCCTCCCCATCTCAGGCTTTCTTGGAGCTCTTTGGACCCAATAACGGTGAATTTCGGAAATGTATACTAGAATAACTGAGAATGTGATTTTATTTCCAAAGAATCCCTATGAATTTAGCCTCAATTTCGTGAATCCAAAAATTTCTACCCTTGTTTAATCAAAAATTTTGGCGTTAAAACTTTATATAACTACTTTTACCGTAGTTCAGATTAGTAGGAAGGTTGACAGGAGGTGATAATCATCGAAGCAACAGCCCGCTTGCGTGGTTTTTGCGTTTGGCCCAGATATTCCAGACCAAATTTTCATCAAAAACCAAAGTCTGTCATCGGTGTCAAACTCGCTCCTAATGTAAACAAACGAACGGCGACATAGTCCGGACATAAACAAAGCGGACCCAGAGCAGCGGACTTCCTCGAGATGTTCCAGACTCAATTTCTCAGCGTTAGCGTTTCTTCACCTCGACAATAGAACTTTCGTCCGCGTCCAACATTTATCCCTTTCGTAAAATCAAATATCAGTTACCCCGTTGATCTGTTAATGGTGATTTCAAGTGAAATTGCGGCGAGATACTCCAGACTCCTAATGTAAACAAAGCGGCCTGTTCCTGGTCGAGATGTTCCGGACTCATTTCTTCATTTACGTTTCTTCATCTCGACCAAAGAAGTTTCAAAGTAACATTTTCCGGTTCCATTGTTAGAGAAGAAACAAGTCATTTTGTTGTAAGTTAGGATAATATTTGTGTTGATTAAGTGGCTTGAGCATTGGACTACCTGGCTGCGCCTTGCTTAGCTGCCTCTATATCAAGATGATTGGGAGAAAAGCTTACTGGTTGATGTGCGAATCTGAATCCTAAATCCCTAGGAGCGGTAGTTGTGAAAACCAGACGGATGTACAATGCTAGGTACCATGCTCCTCACTCACTTTCTCATGGATGTTCGCTGGTCTCTTCAAGGTTCTGGTTTTGCGATGCGTTGAAGCCAATGCTTTAAGTTTAGCTATAACAACCAGGCTTCGGAGATACTAATTAACAATCCTAGCAGTCACCAAATTCTCCAGCAAATCCGCATAGTTGTCTATTAACAGCTGAAGAAGCAATGGAAACCGTATTTACCTATGACAATAAGATTTTTTCTGTTGGAACTCTGATAGTAAGTATGAGGGGGAACTATCACCTTTAAGGCACGTTTCTCCATGAATTTTCTTGTTTTTTGGCATCAAACTAAGTAGAACTCAAGGAAAATGAGGCAAGACTTTACAAGTTACCATGTAAGGTTCATCTGCTGAAAAAATAGAATAAAGTCTAAAATTCCCAATGAACATCACCAAGATGGTTCTGCCACCAGCAGTTCATTTTTTAAGGCACGGATCAAATACTGTGGTTATCTATTATTCTCACGGTGCCCATCAAATTATAGGTAAGAAACCTAGTCCTGTAATAATAATGGCATGGAATGACGGGCTCTAATTGGTGACTTGACCATCCCCAATAAATTATCGAAAGAATTTACTTCTTAAAAGATCCTTTGCGAATAAAGCCAAGTAAATATGCGGATAAAAGTCCCGTGTGATATGTGAAGTGTACTTGTTCAAAGTAATTTCAAAGGGAAGGGATGAAATGTTCAAAAGGTAACGTCCAAATTTGCAAAGTTGTAGAGGCGCTAGGCACAAATTGGACAAGGTGCCGCTAAGTAATGATTAAATGAATTTTTTATTGTTATTAATTACGGAAAAGAGGAAAAGAGAATCAGGCCGAATGCCAAAATTCGAAAAATGTAGGGTGGTGTAGGAGCCGAACCTTCTTCGAAGTTACGGGCGGCGAGCGGCAACCTGATTGGCTACGAAGATTGCCGAGCATGGCCGAAGGCCTACTCGCCGCTTGGTAGGTGTTGACGGCGGTTTGACAAACAGCAGTTTTTGGTGAAATGTGGTCCGGAATATCTGGGCCAATCTGTTCACTCGCTTTCCATCCAATTTTGCCACCATTTTTGGAGGAAGTGGACGAGCAAGATGGTGATACTCTTTGTAAGAGGTACTCTACACTTGGGGAAGGAAGCAGTTTTCCACATTCAATTCACTGCAGTTCAAAACCATGAGTTAAAACCTGGTGCTGATAAATATTGTGTGCCTTAGTCACCTGGTTGATAAATGTTAGTTTGTATTTTGGCTTTTTCAATTACGATTCTAGGGAACTTTCATGCCGAACTACCATGATAACATCAATTTTACATTGTATTACACGCCCTTCTTGACATTTCCTTCTGTTCTCTTACTATGAACAAAATGATAGTACGATGAAAACACTAGTCTTTTAAAAAATATTTGTTTAAAAGAAGACTGATGAATCTGTATTGTTCCGTGGAAAGAAAATTACTGTCAAGTCTTCGGTTGAAAAATGTGTATTTTGCAAATTGTACCTATTGAGGTAAGATGAGTGCTACCTTTATTTCACAACTTGATCTGTTTTCTTTCCCTCTGTCTGAAAAATAAAATAAAAACATTTAACTTAGGAAAGTTGTGCACTTTTCCTGTCTGTATTTTTACTTTATACCGTCAAATTGTGAAAAATTTAAATTTTAATCAATTTTCAATGAAGTTTATTTCAGGGACGTCGTCAGGCAGCTTTAAATAATGACTTTTTTTTGGCATAATACTGAAAAAGAACTCTAGCATATTGCAGATTTCATAGTAAAATTGGGCATCTTTTAATAATATTGGTCATATCGCCAGGATGCAAGTCTGAAATTTGACTGGGATGCCAAAAAAACTCCGAATTGCGACAAAAGATCAGCGTTTTGGAACTTTCAGCACCCCTGGTTGCTTTAATAGCTAACAGTTACGATAAAATATCTGACTGCTGTGTACGGTATTACTGCCCACTACTGTCAATCTTTAATTACTGGGTCCGAGTTTTTAAGGAACTAACATTTTGATAGAATTTACATCATTAGCAGCTGTTATGACAGAGCCACAACTCTCCAGAAAAAATATTGCTGAGTGTCGTTGCGAAGATCAAAGCTGATTGGTAAAGTCTCTCTCCAAAAACAAGCATTGCTTCAGTTTAATTTAAAGTTGAAAAATTCTATATTAACAGATGCAATAACCATTTCTATAGAAATGACAGTTTGCGAAAAACTTGGACGTCAATCATAAAGTAAGGCAAGTGTATGTTGGAACAGCCCTTTAGGTCTTGCTGCTGGTAACATATGAAATAAGAAAAATTCAGACATAATCTATTCATTAATACTTATTTTATTTACACCAAGTAAGACCTAGACATTGTAAAAACTGTTGATGGTAGTTTTTAATGGGGTGAAATTTAAACTGCATATTGAAGTTAGAGAGACTTTCTTTAAATAATTAATTAAAAATATATAACTTTTGTACTGGTTTTTAGTTTTACACACTAAACTCGAGTTCTTAAAAAAAAGGAGTGAGTCATCAGATAGTTGGAGCTATAAAATTTGTATGAGTATGAAAGCTTCGATTCCGGATGTAATGCTTCAACTGCAAAATTTTTGCAAGTATATTGGCCCTGATAAAATACAATTTTAATTCTCTCTGTACAAAGATAGGTAATGAAGAATAGATAGCCATTTTTGCTAATGTGCACAGCGAAAATTTTTTTGGCAACACCCGCACATCAAAAAGCTCAGCAACAGGTGTCAGATTTTTGTGATTCTGGATGCTAAAATTTGGCAACATTGCCAAAGGCTCGAAGTGGAATTATTGAGAATTTGACTGATCTACCGAATTTTGGTCACCACAACTACAAATCTCGGCTCCAACTGCTAAGTTTTTCCTGAGAGCAGATATTGCAGTGTGCAGCCTATTGTTGGTCACAAATGTTACAATATAATGATACTGAGACAGAGAAATGAAAATAATCGCACCACATTACAAACAAAAAACATCTCAACAGTCAACAGTACCTTCTTTAAGTTGAAAAATGGTAAGTAACCGTATATAAATGTAGAGAAAACCATTCAGAATAGCTTTAATTTTACTTCAGTCAGACACTCTAAAGAAAAAATAAAAGAAAATTAAAAGTGACTCACTTCAAATAATCAATAATTAAAGAATTCTGAAGTTCGCGGATAGCGTACTTATTTTTCCAAAATGCTTTCTTGGAAGTTAGTTCATGATAGAGCAGGCAACCAATGTGCAGTTTTGTGAAAAAAAAAAAGTGCCACAGGGATAGACAAATGTGTCTTTAGTTTCGGGAAAAAAGACTACAAAATATAGAAGAGAAGTTTGACACAGCTTCTTTTGTCACGGGACCCAGCCCTTTACAACTGATTTTCCCCATAATCCGACATGAAAAAAGGATGAAACAAAAAAATCAATGTCCATCATTTATTTCGTTCTATTGTTTTAAATCGTAATATTCCATGAGTCATGAGTTGATCTAACAGATAAAAATGAATCATAGTTAATTTTACCTTGTCATAAACTAGCTAACATACTGACAGTGAAACTGCAAAAATTCTTATCTCGGTTGCAATGTTTCATAATCACCGCTCCTATTTTTAATATTTAAAAGGAGACCGAACTAACAACATAGCTTAAAATTTTCAAATAATATACTCTAGAGTACCTTCATAGACAGAGTATGGCCATTTCTGTTCCGATTTTTCATTGGTCGTGTGAAAATAGGTGGAGACGATGATCTTACAGCCGTAAATAAACAAACAAGAAGGCTGTTATCAGCAAGCAAGATTGAGGTTATGCACATCTTACATCCTCCTGTGATAAAGGTGAAAGGCAATTAAACAATTTTTTCGTGTGTTATTCGTAGATATGCTAGTTTAAATTGTTACTGCCGAATAGTCGAAATTTTTGTCAAATTTAACTTCTTATCGATGTTACGGTGAGCCGCCATCTTGTTTGTTTATTTAAGGCCGTAAGAGCATCATGAGGCCTAAAAACTCGTTGACCAATCAAAAAGCGGAACAGTTTTCCTGTGGTAAAAAGATACGAATGGCCGTACTCTTGTGTCTATAAAGGTACTATAATATACTCCACCTAAAGAAGAAAAATCGCCAACATATTTAAAATATGACATTTGTTGGTACTCAGTGTACAAAATAAAGTAGGACAGGAAGTATCCAACAGTACAAACCAAGATACTCATCTCTGCAGTTCACCATTGATATAGTTGAAATCCATGTAGAGCCTGGCAGAATTTACAACAAGAATTACTTTGACTCAAGGACGGCGAATTTGAGCATACAGTTTCCATCAGCATGAAAGAGCAAATTTATAACTGTAGATTCCACTTAAGATATTTGTCCTAATGAGAATACAAATTACTTTCTTTCTTCAGGGCAAGACTGGTAGTCAATGTAATGGGGAAAAGCAGCTGTGACTGTCATTTTATCGAATAATACAAAACTGAAAGGAGCCTTGGCTCTTCGTCATCAAGCATCTCATGGAGACGTCTTGACAACAGGAATGAGACACTCTCTGTATGATATGAGAACCGTAAGACCTAAATTAAACAAGTAGCTTTTCAATTTCCAGTTTAATGGCTTGAATTTGACTCTTGAGTTGTGATCCTTCGTTGACAGTTATTGAGCATGCAATAATAGGCCTGGAAACTCCACAAGCACGTCCAAGAGCTGAAATCAGAAAAAAGATTTATTGAAATGACGAGAATTCCAGCATCTTTGGTATTTCAGCAGGACAAAAGCTTTTAAAAGCTTTTGCTTGTAGAAGTAAGCATAGAGCCTGTTTCAAAGAAGAATGCCCTTTATACTTTTTTTTGGGAGATTTCTTAATTTCTGCACAACTGTATTAACCACAGGATAACATTGAAGTCACTCCACAAGAGTGTAAACGATAACAAATCTGAACTCTTTGCCACTGATGCTACACCCAGTGATTCAACACTGATGTTTTCATTACACCATGGGGCGCTCAAAGAGGGCATTCTTATCTGAGAAGGGACTTGACAAGCTATTATTCATTTTTTTTTATGGATACATTGCAGCACTGTCTAATCTGTGATCAAAGAGAGCTCTCACAATTACCATGGAGATACAGCAGATATTGTGTGTCTGCAGATTCAAATCAGTTTAACACGATCATACATCCTTACAAAAGCTATAACGAAAGAGCTACAAAATTCATCTGAAGTACAAGCCCTATTTTCTTAAAAACTGCACATAGAGAGTGGAGGGTTGAACAGAACACCATAGATAAAAGTGACGGAATTTGATAGGCACCAGATTTTTTGTGCCTGATGCAGTCTTATTAAAGATAAAGATCATCTAGAAAAAATCCATACGTACATGATGGTTTTTGCTAAAGGAAAGTCTGCTATGATTCAACTGTAAACTAAGTAAAATGATTTAAAAAAAGGAGAAATCATACCTTGTTTTGATCGTACAAATACATAGGGAACATTTTTGTCTTCACAGAGCAGAGGGAGATGTAATAAGATTTCAAGAGGTTCTGCATCTGCTGCCATCACAATGAACTCAGACAAGCCTCGGTTTAAGGTTTTGGTGGCTGAAAAACAAAAAAAAAAAAAAAAAGAACATGAGTTAAATGGAAATCTCATTTGAATGATTAGCAATTGTGTTTAAAACAAGCACACAGACAGGGTGTGTAACAAGACAATTTTTTGACAGTACAAAACACGGAAAATATAACCACAATATATTGTCACCTTTCAGTCGAAATATCACAGGTGCCATGCGACACTTCAAAATTTCCACTGCTATTTTACTTTTTTTACAGAGAAATTGTTCAACAAAGCTCTCCAAAAATTTCACCATACATTCTTTGTGCTGCCGATAAAATTCAGTGAAATTTTTAAACAGACTCAACAATTTCTCTCTTTCAAACAATTTTTCTGTAAAAAAATAAAATGACGTCAGAAATTTTGTAACGTTGCATAGCACTAATGATATTTGGGCCGGAAGGTGACGATATATTAAAAAACTAGAGAAATATGATGCTTTTCACACTGCAAATTTTACAGTTATCATTCCTTTCAAACTCAAATTCTTTCTTGGGAAGGATAGATACAACAGGATTCAGCAAGAAAACTTTTCAAGCAGTAAAACTTCTAAATTCGCCTGCCGTAACTGACAAGTATTCAAATTCCCTGTATATTCAGAGCTTTTTAGCTGGGATATCTTTGATAATTTCATGCTTCCTCCAGCTAAATAAAGTTCCTGTCCATCCTTGAGCTTAAATACTCTGCATCAATGTGATCTATAGATATCGGCTTTTCAGAGACACGCTGATAAATCAAAGTTGCAAAGAGTTTGAAGACACAGACCGTTTGCTGCAATCAGACATTTTGGCCTCATGATCACACTCACAAATATTTCCTTCTTTTACCTCACAGCTGACTGTCCTATATTAAGGCAAAAAGCCAAATTTTATGATCAAAAGTGCTATTCAACTTTCTTGAGAGTGGTATATCAGTTGTAAGTATTTGAAAAAAAAAAAAAGAAATCATAATTTTTAGAAATTCCTTCTTGTTTCCTGCTATCCTACAATTAGGCATTTCCTGAACTGTTATGACCAAGAACTACGCATAGAAAACCAAGAAATTTGACACCAGCTAGATTTTCAAGTTGTTCAATGAGATGTTGTTCCTTGCAGCCTCCTCACCACGATGAGCTTTCAAAATCAAGCTCAGCATGAGCCAATTTTGAGAAAAGCAGAGCTGGATATGGAGAATAAGATTTTAAAAGCTGGCCATCAGCAACATCATATCAAATAGTATCAAAATTTAGCCAGCACTGATTGTCTTGGAATTCCGTGCATAGTCTTGTAAGTCCAAGTTCAAAAAAAAAACTCGGAGTTTTAAAAAGCTCACTTCTGATAGAAATTGGGTTAAGGGATTTTGAGATGATTAGATGTTATCTGAGATGGCAAAATAGGAAGAGAGCCAGATAAATAGGCTGAGAATAGTGTCCAAGTCAAAATCTTGTGCAAAACAAACATACCGACGGTGAAAGTCAGCAATCACATAACTCGTTTGCGGTGTCTGAAAATCGCCCCCTCCACGTTATTTTCTTAAAGGAGAACAAATTGACATTATTTCTTGAAGTTTTTGCAGAATTTTCTTCGCATTGAGAAGAAAAATCATGACAGTTTTAAAGAATTGCCGTTGAGTAGTTTTGCCATTTAAAAAATAAAGTATGAAAGGAAGTCTACAACGTCGCAAACCGAGTTATGTGATTGCCGACTTGCACCGTCGATACGCTACTCACCTTCATTGGCTCCTTTCCGAAGCTGTTTGTAATTCTCTGCTTGTTGCACTAAGTTTAAAATCTTTGTAGCTAATGCTGGCTGAGCCAGAGGGTATGCTTTCGGGTTAACTTCTTCCGTCTAAAAAGAAAAACAGAATTTTACGTATTAATAACACAAATCTGCAGTCAAATCTCTCTTACTTAGAGAACATTTCCATGATGCCATATTATGGAAATGCTGTTGAGTGGTACTGGCTTAGAACTAATCTCGGTTTAATATTTGCATCTTAACAAAGAAGGAACAAGGCTTGAAAACGAAAAGGGACATGAACAAATCTAGAAAACTTAATGACACTAAATAGGGGTATGGTCGGATAAGTTGATATTTGTTTACCGTCAATTGGCAGGCGTTTCTACATCACTACTATCCACACGAAGACGTCCAAATCTTGAAGAAGCGAGAACAAAAGTTTGGATCGATTTTTGAATACTTTCAAGCCTTTTAAACCTGAATTCTTAACCCCGCAGAATGGTCGCAGATCATGGCTGATGCACAGTTCTTTTACAACACGACCATGGGATGGATGTTCCGAAGGCGGATAATAGCAAAGGACACCTAGTGCAGAGGTGTAAATTCGTTACCTGCGCCTACAAATCGAAGGTAAACAAATGTTAATATATCTGGCGACACCTCTAGAAGTACTTCCGGGAACAGAAGACAGTATCTCATAACTTTTGGGATGGCCAAATTCTGATGTATATTGAATATAAGTCTCATAGTTGACAAGTACATCTTCCAAATCCACATCAGGCTGGAATGCGGCACTGACAGAATGAGCGTTAACCATGTGGTGACTCTCAGAAGTGATGCCTATGAGATAAGCAATAATTACATTTATGCTCGGTCATTTTGCGTATCTCAACATTAATTAATACATAAACTCGACATTATGATGACTTAAAAAATACATTTAAATTAAAAAAATGCCTATTTCTTGAGATATGAGATACCTCTTAAGGTTAGGTTTGCCATGTGGGTCTGAAGTTAGCCGGTTATCATTTTTGTATGATACAGCAAAACTTGGAAGCGAAAATAAGAAATTCAAAAACTTACCATGGTAATTTAAATAAAACGGACACTCTAACACAGTATTTAAATGATATTTTTTTACTGAATTACAGCGTTGATTTCACCGCACGCACGTTTCAAAACGCAACACAACACATTAATTGATTGACTACAGACACCATCCATCATTTTCTGAATGCAAACATTTCATCGTTGCGCAACCACAAAAATCCTGGTGGCGGGAAATTTAAAATTAGCGGTTATAGCGCAAGCGCCCGCCAACTCTAATTCCCCACATATTCGATTTGAAATAATGTCTTGCTCAATCAGATTGGAAAATTAGGTGTTTCCCACTAAAACCTATCTCAGGAAGTGTAGGAAATGCATAAAATAAAGGATCGGAAGTCCTGTAAAAATATTTTCAATTCCTTTAACTTTTCTGTTTTTCATTAGACCCACCCAAGTACAGTATGATTCTCCTTTTTAAGATGTATTAAAAAACCCTCAACCCTACGTTTGACAAATTGATTTTTCAACTTCAGATAGACTAGTAGTTCCGAAATAATGGACCAATATCATGTGAAAGTATACTATTACACAATTTATGGTGAGTACTTGGCATGACAATAATATTAAAACCATCCGTGGATTCCTGATGTCTTCATCATAAATGCAAATATGGAACTTGAAAAGTTAACTTGAGGGGCTAGGAGGACAAGTAAGATAAGAACAATTTTTGAAATAATTGAGACATTCTCGTGATTTCAACTAAAGCTAGTTTTTAAAATATATTCTGTGAGAAATGCACTGCTAAAATCCAAGTTTAAGCATCAAAAAGAGGAATTTCCGCTGCCATAAGGCTCCATTTAATTTTAAAACTTTAATCACGCCTTCGTTGAAATAGCAAAAACTGCACTTATCCCAATTGTCCTTCAAACCCTTCAATCAATATCCATAAAGATACTTGTTGGGTTTCCAATGAGTTGCATAACATAGAAAAAAAATTTGAATCTGTACTGTGAGAATCTTACATAACAACTCTGAAAAGATAATAATAAAGCAAGTGGTTCTTTCTTGACTGTCGCAAGGATGTTACATTTATCGTCCGAGTATTAAAATATATCAACATTTCAGAATTGTGCAGATTTAGAGCATTCTGAATGTTTATTCTATACATTTTCTTTTTTTCATGAAATTAAAAGTCATACTGCAGAAACGAGGCTGGAATGCAATGATTCGACTTATTTCAAGTTTTTCGGCACAAGATATCTTGAAACTTCATCACTGCTACCAACTGTGATAAAGCTTACAAAGGTAATGTGAGAAACATTGGTTATTGATTCTGATGAAGAGGCAAAGGCAAACTGACAGGTAGAGGTCAGGAAAAAATTCTATATGGTTTATCGTAATTGTTTTCTTTTTTATTATAGAGATAAATTTTTTTACAAAGGTGAAAAACTTAAGAGAGAGAAGAGAGAGGAAAAAAAAACCAACAACTTAAAATCCAATGTCACAAGAAATCCACTAAAACATGGGTTTCTAAAGAAATTTATACAAAAAGTGAACAAACTGCATTACAGTGATGCAATAAGTATCTGATTTCATTTATTCTTTGAAAACCAAAACCATCAAACATCACCCTGTACGTTTTTCTGTAAAAAATTACCTTGTAGGGAAGATCCCTTAAATTTTAGGGAGAAACAATGAGAATTTTCCTCCGCAGAAAATAAATTGGGAAAGAGATTTTGAATCAACGCAATGCACTTTGTTCCTTCATGATTCAATACATTCAATAAAAGAGAAAAAAAATGCGAGAACCTTGCCACCAAATTATCTTCTGTTCTTTTTAGCCTTTTTCCCGCCACCTTGACTAGTGCTAGGCTGTCCTCCTTGTTCGCTGCCTCCACTTTTAACATTTCTTGATTTTAACTTGGGGATCATATCACAGAGGTGGTGTAATACTGAGTCTCCTGAAAAAATAATTAAGATAAAAGAGTAAATAAATGGTGACAAAGTATCAGAATCATTGATGCATATGGCAGAAAGACAAAATTGACCCTAAAAATGTTTCTGTAAAATTCAATTGCTATCATAACAGATTTTATTCATTGATTTCCTTTGGTTTTGAGAGTGACTTTAGTGGAAGCATTTGCAGTCACTTTAATTTTATCAGCCTGTTGTATTAGGATCGTAACAACTACCTTAACTTCCGCAATTGGTGTGACTTCGTCCCCCGACTATATGGAGCCAGTCAAGTATCTACAAAAAATAGGAACTCCCATGATCAAAAATGAACTGTAGCACTGCATTTGTTCGAATAGGCTAAACAGAATTTTTTGGTCAGAATTCTTTCAACATCCGGTCCGATTTAAAGAGATGCAATGCTGTGGGTAGTGTTTAGTGGTCTAAAATGATAATTTTATTCAGTATTGAAGAAATGAATTAGTCAAAGTCTCAGATATTTGATCAGAGGATACTCCCATGTATTTCTCATGGGCTAATTTTGTAGACTCACAAATGAACTGCAGCAGGGGTGCAGGCCGCTGGCAACTTTACAGATGTCCTATCATACTTTGTTCTTTTTTTGGAAAACTAGTCACCATATATTCTTAAAAACTTCCTTGATTTTTCTGCTCTGTTAGCAGGATACTCTCTATGAATTTTCAGTTGAAAGGTTAGCTTGTTTTTCTTGGAGATAGTAAAATTGGAACAGAAATTTTGAAACATGGCAATGAAGAAACATGGTTTCACAGTTTAGTCATCGATATCTAGGGTGAAATAGTTTGACTTCTTAAGGGGGAAGCTTTAATCTGTTCGCTTTTTGTTATTTTTCTTTGTTTTTGGTCATTAGGAAGAGCTTGATCATGAATTTGGGTATAAATGGGGGAGAGCCAATTTACTCAAGGAAAAGGGTTGAAAGTTACTGCACCCTTTCCAAGATGTTTGGTTTTTATTCATTTTGGTAAATCCTGATTTTTGGCGGCTAAATCCTGATTTCATAATTTTTCCAAATCCTGATTTTGGTGGAGTGAATGTAACTTCACAAAAAAGCTTGATAAAAAAATCAGATTGGACGGCCAACTTTTCTCACATCTTGCTTTTACAACCGATTTTTCTTCAAATCCTGATGAAATTGGGATTAAGTCCTGATTGACCTCAAATTCTGATAAAATCGGGAAAATCCTGATGCTAAACACCTTGTTCATTATATCTGCACAGTGGTCAATATATTTAGCTATGTAAAGCTGTAAGCCAATCAAGAAGAAAAAAACAAGACATTTCTCACTTGTAGCAAGTTCCTCTTTGAACGGTGTTCCATCATCATTTTTCAACTGAAGTCGAATGCAGCCTCTTTGATTCAGCTCTTTGCCCCTCTCTCGGCAATACAATTTATTTTCAACTCCTACTCTGAAACCTGCAGCGGTAAGAACATCACGAATTTCTTGATGGGTTGGATTGTCCACTGCTTTCTCCTTAGGAACTCTACGTCCTTCTGCAAGAGTCTTCTTTCGGTTTAAGTATGCAGGGTAAATACGAATCCATCTGCAAAGGAAACGGAGGAATTAAAAAACCACGAATACATGCACAAATTTCGGTGCCATTGGTTTTATACTGTTCTATCATAATACCTACACAAGGCTCTTACTTACTAGCAAATTAATACAATTAAAAAAAAAACAAAAATACAGGTAGGTACCAAATCTCATCATTACTCAGTTCAAGCAAAAATTTTCAGCCAAACTGAGAGGATGGTGAAGAATTACCACTTCACTACACAGAAACAAAACTTCTTGAGTGTACACAGCTCCTTGGTCTAAAGGCCACTCTTAAACCTCTCCGGTCTGCAGCCATTTGGTCCCGGCTGCCGTAGCAGGTTCGCGTGTTTATGCCGAAAATCGGCCGATGCTAGTTCCCAGAGAGTCAACTAGAGGCTGCCACACAATGGCAGGGTCGGAAATATCGGACAATGGATCTGCACACAAGCTTAAGTCTTGAGTGACAATATCCAATATCAGACCTGATTGAATTTTTGAGATGTCAGATGTATCTGACTTTGGACTAAAAAGAATTAAAAGTGACATCGTCTGACCAGGCTGTACAGGAGCTATTAAGAATAATATCTAAAATCAAATTCAAATACGTTAATTTCACTTCAAGTACAAATCTATTACTAAACCGAGAATTACCACCGACTACAATCCTAAACTCACTACAAACTACTGTGCTACTGTATCCTGCACTTACCTGCGCTACAATCTCTTACTAAACCGATAATTTGGGCAGATATAGTTTTATTTGTTTAACTATTACAAAATAAAAATAATCATACTTAAACCGGCAGTTGCTTGTACAGTTTATGTTAGATTTAAAAATTTTATAACAAGAAGGCAATAACTCATCAAAAGCACTGAGCTGATCATCGCCTATTACAAGCGGACAAGGTATGGTGTTCCATTGCCTTCCTCTGCAATCTTAACTCTTAGAATTAAATTCTACTGTTAGATGTAGAAATAAATGCTTGGAATATTGAGATAAGAGTGATAAAATCACTTGCAAATGAATTAAAAGGAGTATGAGGCACGAATCCGTTGAGTAGTAAGCAGATGTCAGCTGACCTATCAAAGCTTCCACTTAGTTACAAAAATAAACAGTGTAATGTTAAAATTACCTTTCTTTATCGCTGTAAGGACGATCAGTGATGGTGACGAAAGCCATGGTTACACGTTTTAACTTTAAGTCTTACAGGAAAGGCATTTTTAAAATGTGTAAATATGTAAACTGTTCAGAGGTTTCGATGTTTACTTGAGCTTTTCTTATCAACCTACTACCTAACCTTAAATTTGACGCGTCACCAAGAAAACGATGCGATTCAACATCAAACATTTCCCCGAATATAATCTAATGATGATAACATTATAAACGGATTTTGTAGAGACTAAATTTTGTCGAATTCAGTGTACAATCGTACAGTCTATTAAACAATTAATAATTATCAAACTAGTTTGTGCTTCATGAGAATCCCGTAGTATAGTGCTCGATCTATTTTTTCCCGTAGTTTCCTCCGCCGGTTTTCCAAGTAGTGCTTTTCAGGTCTCATCTTCATGCAATGAATAGTTCCTAAACCACCACAAAGTTTGGTTGTCGCATCTTCATTTCTATTCTTATTTTTTATTCAAAGCCTTTTCTTAACACCGTACTTTTCATAGTTCACAATGCGTATCATCGCAATTGTCAGACTACTAATACGAGATGATCCGTCAAGAACTGCGCAACTTCGTGCCTCCAAAACAGCTCTTAGTCTTGGGACAAGTCCAAACTCTAAGGAGGGGAAAATTTTACTTTTGCAATCACTTCAGAATAAAACCGGGATGAAGTACAAGGTAAATAATATTAGTTCAGTTTCTTGTACGTCCCCTACTTTTTCTAAGTATACTTAACTCAGTCATGCCCGAAAGTCTTAGTTCAGAATCATAGATCGGGGTTACACACTACCCTTGCTCCAGCAGAATTATTATTGGTAATCTCTCAAGGAAGACACATGGACCTGCTGCCTCCATTTAGGCTGAATATTTTTACAGACTCTATGGACCAATTCACTAACCTATTTTCTTTCGTTTTCCTGAATGCGCAATAGGAAATGCGTTTGTATATCCCAAAAGCTGCGATTTCAGTGGCTGATTTTAGTGTATGGCACGTAACTACACTAGAGCAGACCCTCATACCAACTCTCCAGTCGTCAAAGTCTGCTGGAGCCCTTCTGTAATTGAGGTACTGGATGCAAAAAGGGCACTTCTCGGTTGCAGTGCTTCAGAGTCTCCTCTATTATTTAATTCATTGTAAGGAAAGTGAATGCATCCATGTCACTAAACAATTTTACCGAATATTTCTAATGATTCTACAATTCTCTGTGGAAAGAATTCGGGAAAAATCACCCATTCAATTCTCCTCCAAGGGATTAATTAACAATGGAGATTCTGAAACACCGCAAATGAGGAGTGCCCTTTTCGCATTCAGTGCCTCAATTTGATGTCATGTTACCTTTAAACAGTGTTCCCAGGTGCTCCTATCTTGAAAAGTCCGTACGCTCTCCGGATGGGCTCGTGTATGTCCGTGCCGCTCCGTGCTCCGTGAATCGCCTCCCGCGATTTTTAAATATTATGAACTATAGCGGTGAATCTTGATAAATGAGAATTCTTGTTCAAAGTATTGTGAACTTTTAGCTATACCTACTAAACATCAATTCATATAAGAACTTCCATGATTTTTCCTCTCTGGGCAAAGCAAATTCTGAGGAAATTTCAAGGAATGATGTTGATTTGTTCTCTTTTAAAAAATACCTAGCAGTGATTTTTGAATGCTGCGAACAAACTGTTGTAGCTAACTGTGTCCAAATCATGCCTGAATAGCGACATTCAAGTACCTATGTCCTCTAGAAAGCATTGGCAGGAAAAAATAGGTACCTAAATCAAAAAGCAATAATTCAAAGGATAGGAGATGACTTTTCATGAAATTCATCCCATTGAACTGATTGAATAACACATTAATTATTGCAAAAAGTACTAAATCAGGTCCTGTATGATACCTGGGTTTTATTCGTGGCTTCTTTATATCAATAACATTGGCGAAATTGAGAAATAAAAATTAGAGAAAATGTCAGAGTGATCAAGCACAAAAGCACAACAATACAGAAAACAAGGACGGACCTTAAATGAAATGACTGAATTTTGATAAGAATACAATATAATTAATGCAAAAAGTATCTAATTTGTTCCCGAACGATACCTGGCTTTCATACTAAACATAAGGTGAAACCACCAGTTACAGACACCCGCAAAAATGTGACCAGTTATAGACACCCTTCGTCTAAATATGGTAATAATAAGAAAGAAGTGACTCGGTTCTTTGTGTTGTTGTTTTTAATTCAACTCACTTGAGAATGTGGGTTGAATTAAAAACAACACACAAAGAACCGAGTCACTTCTTTCTTATCATTACCATATTTAGACGAAGGGTGTCTATAACTGGTCACATTTTTGCGGGTGTCTGTAACTGGTGGTTTCACCTTAATTGTATCAATAACTTAATCAAAAGTAATAAATATTGCAAAGAAAAGCGGATAAAGAGACGCACGGACAGGGCCGGGCAAGCTTACGGACTAAATAAGATAGGGAAAAATGTTCCCATAAGGTTTTGGTCCGTACGCGGTCCGCGCGGCACGGATATATCCGTACGCTTGGGATCATTGCCTTTAAATTTGATGATCAGCTTGTCGACCTTTTTTCATAATCAAACGATATGCACATTTTCTCTACAGTATGTAAGGAATAGCTCCATCCAGTTGGACGAATAAGGACAGAACTGACTCCTTCAAGCAGGTCATTGAACTGGTTCTATATGTCTATTGACAACTGTAGAATTGTGTACTTGTTCATTTTGTTCAGTTGTTTTTTCTAGATCAATTGGGCTCACCAAATTGACCTGCGAGTAGCCAGCATTTATATGTTCCTTCATCCTTAATTGTTTCTCTCCCATTGGCTGTTCAAAATTAAGCAAAAAACAAGAGGAAAAAAAACAGCAATACCCCATTGCTGTATATGAAATATAAGTAACTCATCTCAACAATGTATTTCTCATTTTCACAGGCACAGTTGATATGATTTATTTCAGTGCTTCAAATTTTAACTGTACAACAATTTTTTTTCCCCTCTCTAGATCGAAAAGAATATAGAGCAGATTTTCTCTCGCTTTTTGAGTGAAGGTAAAGTTACGATTCGACTGAAGATTCCTGCACATGATATAATCATTAGTGGAGATCCTGTGGAACTCAAAGGATTTTTGAAACTGTTGAAGTCTGCTTTGGAAAATGAAGAAGTTAAAATGCCCACAGTTGTTGCACGCAAGACCATGCATGTCTTACCCCCATCCAATTTGAGGTTGGCGTTCGCTGGTAGGGGACAGTTTACTGCAACAACTAGTCTGCCACTAGCAACTAAAGAATTGTCTGTAAGCACTTCTTTCATTAACTCAGAATCTTAAGTAAATCCCTGACTTCTCTCTCCAACAGAATATTTTTTAAAAGGGTACCTTCATACCATTTTTCTTGGATAGTGTTCAGTAATGATAAAGAAAAGTCCTCTTTTCTATTGTAATTATTGGCATTCAATCGAATATAATTAGAAAGCCTGATCGATCCCCCCCCCCTTCCTGTTGAGGAAAACAGGGCTAAGTTTATAAATTGAAAAACTACATTTTGTCAAGACTCCTCCCTACTTAAGTGGATCAGTAAATTAAGTTATGCCTTTCATTCAAGTTAAAGATTTTCCCCCTTCTTTCTTCCTGACCCACTGTCTCTTTGTTACTTTCAGATCACAAATAATGCACTGCCAAGATTTGATCCGAGGATTGGTCGACTGAAATTCTTACAGGTCTTAGATCTAAGTGGCAACTTACTTAGCTCCCTCTCAGAGGAATTATCGTCTCTGAATGTTATTGAACTGAGGCTCAGAGGAAATCACCTCGGCTGCACCAATAACTTTCGATGGATGAAGCCAGGAAGTCTAAGAAGATCCCTTAAGTATTTAGACCTAGGAAAAAATCAAGTAAGTAACATTAAAGGTCAAGTTAAGTTTTGCTTTCACCTTGACAGAGTTTTTCGAAGCACTTTAAGATGAGAAAATGCAATTTATTTTGAAATATTAAAATGATGCATTTTATAATTAACTACTGATCATGCCAAAATAGTCTAAAATATGTAAAAATACTTTCAAATCGTTGGTAGAAAAATTTTGCAATTTTATTCATCATTCAGAGGTTTCACAAGACCTTCAATTCCTTACCAAAAACCTACAGAAAAATCCAGTGTTTGAAAATTTGCTTTTTTTAATAAATGGACTACATTTTGCAATGAGGAACCACTATTTATAGCTCATCTGTGAAACGTACTATAATTTCTAAAACGAGTTTGAAATATCAGTTCCTTATTGCAAAAGATGGTCAAGGATGCCCTCATTGAAAATAGATGTATTGCACTTTCCTCTTGCTTACTGATGTGTCTGACTGTCTTGTTCTAATTTTTTTTTTTCTTCTTCTTCTTCCCTCCCCATTTTCAGTTAGAGCATATTCCATGTGAAGTCACCAGATTTTTTGAGCTGATCACTCTGAAAGTGGATGATAATTATCTCACCAATCTTCCAAATAGTATTGGTTATCTAAGTAAATTAAGGTAAGCAACAAATGCAGTTTTGAAACATGAGACAAGTTTAAAAATAAAGCACTAAGTTGCATCAAGTTTGAAAGGAAAAAAAGAAGTATGAAATTACCTTCGTAAGACTCAACGCTAAAGACGAAGTTTAAGAACTGTTCTCTTATTCATGATATTTTTCTCAACTTAGAATTCTTGACAAGAGGACCAGTTGAATTTAAAACTAACTCATTTTTCTCCATGAAGCACACCAACTTGGTGCATTTCTATGTAACTCCGTCCACATGTGGAATGGTGTCATTAACTCCTATTGCTAGTAATATTAAAGCCCAGAGTGATCATTCTCTCATATTTCATTTCTACCCTTGATTTGAAGTAGGATGAACTTTCATTAAAGTCAGATTAATATTGAAGTTTTGGCTTCCTGAAAATTTTAGTTCATTGATTTTCTTCCGGATATTAGGTCATTTTTCTCAGTGTTAGACAATGTTTTACAGAAAATTATTGTTCTTCATAAAACATCAATCTTTTCAACGAAATTAGAAATCCTTACCATGTATTGCGGGATTGAAATTAAACTGAACCAGAAGATCAATATGATATTATCGTGTAATTTTTTCTTGCAAGGGTCTTGAAAGGAAACGTAAGACAAGCTTTTCATTTTTATTTCTCATGTAATCATAATATCATATGCACAACAGGGGTTCATCAAGTGCTGAATCAGCTAAGGGTAGGAGAAATGTAAAGGCATCCAAAAAGGGGAAAAAAAATTTGAAGGCACATGGGAGACTTTCCTTTTCTCAACTTTACTATTATTTCTTTGCATGAACGTGTTTGGTGAAAGAAACCATTAGACGCATTATTTTTTGCAAAAGAAACTGGGTAACGCACCCTTATATGAAAAGAAAACTGCACAGTCTGCTCTTTAATGTGTAAAAAATAGTGATGTACGCAGTCTAATTTGGACAGTAATGCAAAGGCTGCTTAACGGAATAACTATGTAGTTGACTTCTGGTACATGTTATTATCTTTGTTTTTTTTCTTCTTCTTCTTCTTTTTGGACAATGTATTCATTTCATCACGGATTGTAAGTATTAATTCTTCTCTGTCTTAGGTGTTTCAGCGCCTCAAATAATCAACTCACCGTACTTCCATCCAGTATTGTCAAATTGAATTTGACAACATTGAATCTTTGTGATAATCAATTTATGATCCCCGAATTGAACTTCGTTGATCCATCGCGACTACTAAAAGTTCCTACATTAAAGAATGCTGCCAGCAAGATAGTCATTAAAGCATCGTATGTTTCTTTTTCTCAGTTTTTCTTATTAATTTTTTTCTGTAATTTTTTTTTTTTTTTTCAATTCGATATCAAACATATGGCATGAATGAGGTATAGAAGGAAGTATAACTTTTTTCTTATCTCTTTTTGGTGCATGACCCTTGCTTCATTAAAGAGCTGATTTCTAAATTTTACTTTTTAATCTTTAAAAGTCTCAAAACTAGATTCAAATCCTGTGATTCACGCAGAAGGATTTCAGTCAATACATGCTTTTAACCTTTTTGCGAAACTTCTTGAAAATTATTGGAGAGAAATTTTAGAATCCCAGAAGAATTAAATTAAGAAAAAAATGTTTTGCACCTCTGTTAAATTCTGTATCCAATGCTGCCCCTGGTTTCAACTGATTCATCAAACATTCATTCAGCTAGATTTTACTTGGTATTAGATGCTGGGCAGGGGTGCACAAACTTCCTAATCGAGTGACCATAAAGACAAGGCAGCTCATCGGTAAAAATCTGAAGTCTGTGGCTACTGCAGATCGCTGAAGCGTTTCATTTGCAAGTTTTGTTCTAATATTGCGGTGAAATGTATGTATTTTTTACAAAATTGCAGCAATCTGTGAATAAAGGTTAAAAAAGTGTCATAATTTATTTTTTGGAAAAATGGGGTTTCTAAAATGGAAAGTCTAGTCAAAAAAGTGATGGGCCAGTTTGAAAAATGGGATTACCAAGAACTTTCTATACCCCTGGCACAGAGTGTTCAATTTTCTAATTATCAAATTGTGCAGAAAAAAAAAATTACACCTCCAAGAGTTGGTGCTCAAAATTTTCTTTGCTCATAATAATTTTCTCAGTGAAACCATAATGAGAAAGTCTATAACAGAATACCTGAATTCTGACTTGGCTAATGGTCCATTGGTTAAAATTCTCTTGCTCCAAAATTCTCCTCCACTTTATCTCTTTAATTACAGATCCATGCATCATATCAAGGAAGTAAATGTTAATTTCTCACAACTTGAATTATTGTATTTTTATCTCAACCTCTTCACCTTTAATGTATTGTTTGTCACCTTGTTTCAGGATTCCACACTATGAAGGACACACGCCACTCGATGTAATATACCACCTTTGTTCTGCGTTCTACTGCATTTGTCGCAAAGCAGTTTTTGACTCGAAATGCACATATGTTCTCCTCTACAGCCTAAGGAATATTTCCAGTGAATTCTTCTATGACAGTAGTAGTGATCATTTGATCCCAACCAGGTTTGGTGTATGCTCATCTGCATGCTACACCAAACTAACCAACATAGCTGCAGCTCTGTGATGGTGATCAGCTGTCATAAAATTGACGACTGCAATTTTGTTGATTCTTTTGCTGTTAGGATGCTTTTCTAATTCTCTTGCATTGAAGTCTGTCTGTCTCTTTATCTCTTCCATTTAAGTGGATAACTGTGATATTAATCATCAAAACCTCTTTTATATCGATGCTTAATTGCTAGTGAGGATCACTGAGTTTTGGATGTTTAGCCGTCCCTTTTTTAGAATCTCCAATGTCTTCATGTGATGTTGATAACACAAAATTTATATGTTTTTGAATCATTATATTGAAATGACGAAGATCTCCTATGTGGGCAGGAGGTCAAAACATGGATTGTTTTAATAATTTTGCATCATTGATTGTGTTAAGAGGAAATTTTAGTGTCATTTTAGTTTTAAAAATAAGGCTAAAATATTAAGGTTTGTCACTTTACTAGGATCGTTAGCTTTTTTGAAAAAAATTCTCCCCTTCCCTGAATAAAGTTCCATTCATAAGCTGGAGACAAAGTCTTTTCATAACTAAGCTTCCAGTTTAATTCGTTTTTTTTTGTTTTTTTTTTTTTTTTGTACCCATTTTCTCTATTCTCTTGAAAAAATCCTTTAATGGATCCAGAAATGTGATTAATTTTTTCTATCGCTCTTTTTTTTACAATTTTGCATTTGCTGAAATGATTCTTCTACTTGATCAATTTTATTGAAATTCCATGCGATTTTTTCTCATTATTTTTAAACAATGTCTAAGGTATTAAATAAAATTTCTGTTGTATGTTTTTACCTAAAATGTTCTTATTTTATGGACCAGTAGTTGTTGACTTAAAATTTTCTGGTCTCTAGGCGCTGCTGCCAAACAATTTAATATCCAGCCCAAAATCTTTCGTCTTTTAAAAACTAACAAAAAACTGCAGAAAGCTTGTCATGTCTCAGTGTACACAAACATACAGGTATATTTTTATCCATTAACTCCTCCTTTTAATGTCCTTATAAATAATCACTGAAATACAGTATATTCTGCAGACCACTGAAACTCTAGTAGATACTTTTCCCACCTTATTCAATTAGTCGTCAATAAGTGATGGCAGAAATCACTCCATGCCCTCCATAATTCCAGAGTGACCAAAAAACAGATCATTAAAACATGACTGCGATCGAAATTATATGTATAATTATAATAAATAAAAAAATTCCAGATCTGTTGTAAGTATGCAACAATTTAAAAGTACTTTGTACTGGAACTAAGTGAACAGCAAAATTTGTCTGCAGAAGTCGATCGAAAATCTCCGTCGTGGAAGCAAGTGGAAGTAAATAGATTTAAAATTTCCCAGGGAAGGACCCCCGGACCTCCTTTTGGACCGCGGATATCGAATACCCCTCAAACTCCCCAATAGTGGGAGACCAAGCCTGATTTACATACATACATATACATAATATATCTTTATTTGTTTTTGGCTTGCACATGGCTTCTACAAATGCGTCGAATTTTTCTAAACAAGAAACAAGAATAAATATATGTATATATAAAAAAGAAAAAAAAAAAAAAAAAGACAATGATATCAACCTGTCCCCTTTAAAAAATCGTTGATTGAATATGGACATTCCTCAATTAGATAATGTCTGACCAGGGCATTGTGGCTTCGGGGCTCATCTTTAATTTTTTTCCTTATGTTTGATTTAGTCTGTGTGCACTGATAATGTGGTGCTCTTAATCGCAGCATCGGCAAATGCCACATCTGCGTAAGAAGGAAAACTTTTGCGACTGCGTTCGTCATCAAAATACCTAAACTTACCTACCCAATTGAGAATAACTATCGATGAGAAGCCTGTCTTCATGATTCAGTTAGCATGTCCCTTACTTTAAAACTGAAGTCTTCGAAAGGAGGATATGGAATCGATCGACATGAATCCACGCCCGAGAACCGATCGACACCACTTTGACTGACAAATTATTAAAAAACTGAAATTAATTCGATCGATTCACGGATATTGTCAATCAACTCACGGGTTTGTCGATCGATTCACGGTTATCGATCGAATCACGTCGTCCAGTTCTCGTTTTTATTTTTCTATTGATTCATGTCGATCGAATGAATATCATTGTTTCAACAATTTGTCAATTGATTCACGTTTCACTTTTCGGTTCATTCATGTCGATTTAATTCACACCCTCGGCCGCTTCGTCTAATCCATGCTCAACGACGCTTCGAGAGGATTCATTGATCAAATTAACTTTATTTTGTAATTATAGGAGCCACAATTTCTGGCTTTGTTCAGGAACAATGTATGTCCCGTTAGTTTCTTTATGCACACAAGTTTTTTTATTGATGAGCTAAAAATCGTAGTTCCGAATAGCAAAATGCAATCCAAATGATCACGCCATATATTGCATCGCTGAGCAATGAGGGGGCTTACATGTAAAAGTAATTTCACTTGCATTCTTCTATTTAGAATTATTTATAAAAATACGTAAATAAAGAGAAGAAAATTAGTTGGGTTTCATGTAATATTTTATTATTCGAAATGGCAATAATTCCAACAAACTGCACAAAAACTTCAAAATCATAAGTTGAAAACCGCAGACGCGGCAAGTTTGAATAATCACGTCAAACGCATAGTAGCGCCTTACGAGACCGCAGGATACTTTATGCAGTGCGTGTACAGAACGGTGGGCGCACAGAAGCGCCTTACAAGTCCGCAGGATACTTCATGCACTGCACGTAGTATACCCTGAAGCGGAAGCGCGCTCAAGTCGTTGAAAAATCACATTTTTTTTATGTCGATTCGAACCTATACCCCGGTGTAGGTACAATACATACTCTATTTCCGAACAGTGCACACCGCGAGCTTGCAATCCTAGGATCACAGAATTGTAGAGATTTTTCAATCTTGTTATGTTTATCGGTGAAAATACAATTTACGAGTGGAAATTCAAGTTGGAATGCTGTTACGTGCTATCGTTCGAAAAGCGTCGAACTTAGGTTGGGTTCCTTAGGCTGGGTTCCAACCTAACTCGAGGGTATGGATTCGATGGACATGAATGGATCGAAAAATGAAAACGTGAAGCGATCGACATGAATCGATCGACACCGATTCGATCGACAAATTGTTAAAAAAACCGGTGTCGATTCGATCGAAAAATGAAAACGTGAATCGATCGACACAGATTCGATCGACAGTTAATTTAAAAACACCCGTATCGATTCGATCGACTCACGGGTTTGTCGATCGATTCTCGGGTTTGTCGATCGAATCGGTGTCGATCGATTCACGTTTTTATTTTTCGATCGATTCATGTTGATCGAATCGATACGGGTGTTTTTAAATTAACTGTCGATCGAATCGATGTAGATCGATTCATGTCGATCGATTCACGTTTTCATTTTTCGATCCATTCATGTCGATCGAATCGACACCGGTTTTTGAACAATTTGTCGATCGAATCGGTGTCGATTGATTCATGTCGATCGATTCACGTTTTTATTTTTTGAACAATTTGTCGCTCGAATCGGTGTCGATCGATTCACGTTTTCATTTTTCGATCGATTCATGTCGATCGAATCGACACGGGTTTTTTAACAATTTGTTGATCGAATCGGTGTCGATCGATTCATGTCGATCGATTCACGTTTTCATTTTTCGATCGATCCATGTCGATCGAATCGACACCGGTTTTTGAACAATTTGTCGCTCGAATCGGTGTCGATCGATTCACGTTTTCATTTTTCGATCGACTCATGTCGATCGAATCGACACGGGTTTTTTAACAATTTGTCGATCGAATCGGTGTCGATTGATTCATGTCGATCGATTCACGTTTTCATTTTTCGATCGATTCATGTCGATCAAATCCATATAGCCTCCACAAAAAATACTCACATTCTTCGCCCTGTACCCAACTATTTGTGCCTAAGATATATCTTTGTACCTAGTCATGAATGAAAAATTGAAGGCGCCGTGTCATTTTGGATCCTCCCAGTAAAGCCCACCATTGGTGCCGCGGGTGGGAGTGGTGAGTGCTTGGACAGTCAAAACGCCTTCTATTGCGTACGTATGCAACACGGAAATCCATGGAGTCCGAATAGATGCATCCAAGAGTCAAAATGAAAACAGTGTTCGTCCTATTTGACACCGACTAATTGTAAGCATTGTAAGCAGGGCACTTTTTGCTTGGTGATTTTACACCTTAACTTAGTCCGGCGTTGCCTGATGTGTTCATGAAATTAACGTATTACTGATTTGGATCGCATCATTGTACGGAAATCCATGGAGCCCGAATAGGTGCATTCAAGAGTCAAAATGAAATTTGTATAGTATTCGTCCTATTCGACACCAAAGTAAAGGCTCTTTTTCCTTGGTTATTTTACACCGTAACTTAATCCAACTGATTTTGATAGCTTCACTGTCAATATTCCGAGTAACGCTTTGATTGATTAAATATTTTTAATAACGCCACCGTTCTAAAACGTGGGTTGCGACTCCTACCCTCTTATCTAAGAACGACGAATATGCGGTAAAGTCATTTCCATGTTCACTTCAGGAGAAATTCTAGAACGCATCTTACCACCTTATTTGTACTATTTTTTTTTTTTTTTTTTTTTTTTTTTTTTAAACTTTGTCTCAAGAGTTAAAAAAAATTCCAGTTATAGAAATGTAAATCAACCTACGGTTACAGAGCCCGGTGCGACAGGACCCAAAATTAAAGAAATTGGAATGGGTTGACGCGATTCCAAAAAAATTTATCGTAACCACAGTAAATTCGCCGGCAGAGACCGTCTGACTATTGTAAGAGGGATTATATCAGACGTCGAAAACTCAAATTCTGACTTTTTTTATTCGATAACATTAAGAATACTCTCGATCAATCATCATCTGAAAAACTGAGGTCATTTTCACCGTGGACGCTCAAAATCATACTATTCCACAAAATTCGCGCAAGTATTTCATTCATCGAGGACGTAATACAATTGACCAGACTCACTGTTGGCAACTTTCGCCAATTTGGAAGTTAGATATTTCCGTATACCTGTGTGGCGGTGTGGCCCCAGCCCCCTACCCTTTCTGCCCGCTATCCTTGCTGCCCCCACAGTAGGTAATCGCTCTCTGTGCGAGGGCCTCAGGAAATAACATCCCTCCCCCACCATCACATCGCGCATGCGACCGCATTTGAATTTCAATAACCCTAAATCCGCAACTTTCGATCGCTGCATGCGAGAAAGTGAGACATAACGATACGCGCCGACACCACTTGTTGCACCGAATACGAATGAGTCCGGCAATTCATTCTCGCGCCAGGTTCCCGCGCTTCGATTACGACGACGGTGCTGCTATCTATCCACCAGTTCCCGCGGCAAGCGCGATGAGCGCTACCTTCAACCGGCCAGTAACAGTCTTGTACCGGTCTAAATACCACACGGGGGCCGCGTCTCATATTTTACGCGAGCATCGTATTTTCTAATCAGTTTTTTCCTGAAAATTCACCGTAACTGTGTTAACCTGCTCGTGCCCGAATTAAAAGTGCTTTTCATATCTTGTACTTATTTTTAAAAAAAAAACATATTCAGGCGTTTGAGTATTCCGCCCAGCTTAACGTATTTTTGGCGGGATTGTGCCGGTGCGCTCATACTTTACCACGTGGGATACCTACCCTTTAATTGTGTCGGTGAATGAGTGAAGAGAGAATATTCACGTCGCCTTTGCCCCGCCACTGATTCTGTTCGAAAATGAGTTGATTTCTGGTGATGATGTGATTTGATCGTGTATTCTAAAGTCAAAACCAAAGCTTTTTGTGATATTTGGGGGGATTTTGTGTATTAATCTTATTCTATGATGTGTAAACACGGCACGTTGGTCCTGAAATTTGGATTTATTGTGGTCATCTTACTTCAATTAGGTACGTAGCTTGATGTCATCAGTATACATTTACTTTTTAGCAAAATTCCGGGATAATTTAAGGAGACCTCTTCACTCCTAAATGTGTCTGCTAACCTACTATAAATTTGGTTCGCATTAAACACGATGTTCTCTAAAAAACGTGTCCAGTCAGGAATGTACGTTTAACATAATGTAATATAAGTAGGTAACTAAATTTTTTACAGTTAAACACATGGATTGAGTTGAAAAAACGGAGACCATTTTTTTTTTTTTTTTTTTTTTTTTTTCGGAAAACAGGGTGTCAGTTTTTCAGTGCCTGGAGAATTCTTCTCTCCAAAACTCATTCCATATGAGTTACGTATTCTGGGAAGACATATTCGAATTTTAGAAATTTTAGAAATATATTAGGTAAAAATACGAAGAAGTATCTTTATCCTTTACCCTCCTCTTAAACTGTCACCGCCGCGGTCTCCCTTTATATGGGGGTTTCGGGTTCATCTCCCGAAAAATCCCAGTTACATTTGAATCTAAAGGACCACCCTTTAAAATAACAACAATGGAGATGTTGCATGTGTGAGAGATTTGCGATTTGACTGTTGATTCATTTGTAAAAGTTCGCGAGAAACACGATGGTGCCACTGGTTTTCTCTGAAATCATCTCCCAAGCTCAAAAAAAGCTCTCAAAGTGAGGCCAAAATGGAGGGGATATCCCACCCTACCCTGAGAGTCCACCTCTACATCAAAACAAACTCTCCATGCAAAGATAGGGAGCAAATACATTAGCAGTGATGCCGTGTTTTCAGTTTTGGAGTCCCCAAATAAAGTGGCAACCCTGCCAATGTATTTGCTCCCTATCTTTGCATGGAGAGTTTGTTTTGATGTAGAGGTGGACTCTCAGGGAAGGGTGGGATATCCCCTCCATTTTGGCCTCACTTTGAGAGCTTTTTTTGAGCTTGGGAGTTGATTTCAGAGAAAACCAGTGGCACCATCGTGTTTCTCGCGAACTTTTACATAAGAATCAATGGTCAAATCACAAATCCCTCACACATGCAACATCTCCATTGGGGATGCATGATTTAGGATTTAATAGGACCGGATTGAGCATAAAGGAACCAAGTCACATCAGGCATTGCCAAAATTCGTTGCACAATCTATCTTCCAGAGGAAAACGATTGTCAAAAATGTCAGGGAATTTGCCTCACATTACAGAGAGAATGCCTTGAAATTTTCAAAAGAAACTACCCTAAGACCCGTTCTCCCGTTGAAAAAAAATCATTCCGTGAAATTTGGCAATGGTTGATGTGACTTATTTCCCTTGTGCATAATGAGGTCCAGTACCTATGTCTTTGCTTTTTATCACTCATTAGCGATTGCTTGTACACGTGCTCGCGGGCTCAAAAAACAACCAAAAAATCGGAAATGGACGATTATGAATGTTCCTCCAGCTCTCAAGATAGGTATGCGGGAGCCGATGGAGCCTACGGGTAATTTAAATCGATATGATAATTTGCGAATGGAAACACGATTCTTGTCAAAAATATATGCACGCGAATTCACCTTAACCTATTTCAACCGGTGAGTGCATGGCGTGAACCGGACCTGCACATGCTTGCTGATTTCGAGAGGAGCGTGATCCGAAACCCCCCCCCCCCCACCTCACTCTGCTCTTCTGTCCGTCTTTTTCTTTTAACATCTGAGGTATTATGCTCCAATTACACTTTACTTAAAGGTCACGTGACACAGGAGATTTCTGATCGCTCGAAAATTCATATTCTAATGGGCCGCTAGACAAGGTCTGAAGTATAGGTAGAAGAAAACATAGCGTGATTTCTCTGCGAAATCTCACATAGGAAATAAATTCATGCACACAACGGAAGTTTTAAAATTATAAGTAACCCCTGAACGAGACATCATTAAGTTTCATGTACACAGATCAAATGAAGGTTCAAATATACAAATTACGTCATTTGTATATTTGCTATAAGACCACAATGTTAATAAAAAACACGTATATCTTGTCCAGGAGTTGATTTTCAAAGTTTCCGTCGTGTGATTCGTTTTCCTTGTGAAATTTTGAAGAGAAAACACGTGGCGTTGTTCTTTCAATTCATACTATGTTTAGAGTAGGATGTTCAGCGACGTGGAAAACCGGGAACTGTCAGGAATTTCTTTTTTGTGTCAGGGTCAGGGAATTCAGGGAAAATGTTAGTGAATGCGCAAAAATTGGGCATGTCAAGGAATTTTAATTTTTCCCGGGTTTTCTGGCCGTTTTTGTCAGGGAAATCAGGGAAGTGTCAGGGAATTTTATTTTTGAAAATTACTGGACACCCTGGTTTAAAGGCCCATTGCTCTAACCGGAAGCTTTTATAATCATTTAAAAAAATTGAAACTAATCGATTAAAATGAGAGAAAGTAATTTGAACACACATTTGATCAAAGCATAATGAAAATTTGATACAAAATTTGGTAAAATTCTGATGAGAAAGGGCTTTGTCGCCCTTGCGATCAGAGTGGGGTTGATGTCATTAATTATCTTGAGGCGGTGTTATTAAACCTACTCGATCCAAATTCTTAGCTATTTCCCTTGTAATGGAAGTTGAGTTTGAACCCCAAACAAAGACCTTTTCGAGTGTTTACCACCACGTTGTCAGAGCCACCTTAGCTCCGAATTAGGTTTCCCCTTACCGGAGTTATCACATGTGAGTAGCTCCGATTTGGACGCATTTATGCTGAAAGGAACTGTGAGCATTGCATTTGCGTCCCTCATAATTAAAATTTTGATGTAATTCGTTGGTACATAGTTCATTTTATCATAAACACCTCCATTTATCATATTCTCTCTGAATAAGGACACAAGTTTAATACGCACAGAGCAACGAACAAAATTATGAGTGAGTTTCAAGTTCCAACTCACTTCGCTGAGGTAATTTTGAATCTCTTGAAAATGCATAACAAAGATGTCGAGGTTTCTCCCGCGATGGAATATAAATGATAAATAATAAATATTTAGTATTGATGTGATTCGCAAATATCTTCTACCAAGTAAAACGATGATTGGGAATTGTAAAAAAAAAACATGATGAAGTTTTTTGAGAAAGTTGCCAATCTGGCTTTTAATCTCACCATTTCTGGGAATTTTTTTATAAAACAGGATGCGACTTCATCGAGTGAAAACACAATATTTACTGACACCACTGCGTTTATTCATTCATCCGTTTCTTGCTACCTGAAGGAGGGGGGAAAAGGGGGAAAACCCCTTCTGTCGATTATATTTGAATCCTAAATAGGTATTTTGATACTTTTTGATACTTTTCGATAGGAGACTGAATACTTTACCAAGACTTAAGGTAGATCACACAAACGGAATTTCACCGAAATGCACGGCACCTTATATAGTACCAACGATTATTTGTCAAAGAAAATTTTGAGAAAAAACTCTGATTTTAAATACCTTCCCAACTATATAAAAGAAATCTGTTAAAATCATAATGTCTAAGGAAACTTTGTTCGGGTATTTTTTTCAGTATAAAATTTACGAAGGGCAAAATTTGAGTAAAAAACAGTTACTTCTTTAAAGATCGCTTGGAGTTTTTCAACAGTAAGTGTTTTAAAAAAAGTTTAAACTCCTTAAAAAAAGTAGTCATTCATTGTAATCGTGTGGTTAAATATTATCAGACTTTGATTTTATTTTTTTTAGAAAAAAGGGGGAAAAAGAAAGAAAATAAATTATAGTTTTAAAGAGGTAATTTTTAAAGGTCATTGCTACTACAGTTGCGGGTTAGTTTGAAAAAAGGGCCAAAAAATTCGTAATTCGCACTCTGTTTATCGCCTCGTCGTTGATATGGGTTGCCATTCGGGAACGAGATCACATTTTCAGTTTTTCCGCCCTTGTCAGACCCCTGGGGTCATTTTTCTTTTGTGCATGGGTGGAGTTGGAGTTGGCATAATATCCCGGGACACGCGATTCGGTCATGTCAACGACCGCCACGCACTGTCGCATCACGTCGGGCGTTTTCGAATAAATTACCCAACTCCCCATGACCGGCCACTACGCTTATTCAATTCATATATTAATATATTTTATTTATTTTTATATCATGCTCACATATCATCGCACCCAAGGCTAGTGGATAACCTTTGACGCTCCGACGTAAGCCCAAAATATCCATTGTGTTGGCATTTTGCAAGAAAATGAACCCACTTTACATGAAGCGTCGACTTTGTGATTGTAGAACAAATTTCTCACCCACTGATTGTGTTCCTGTGTGGAGACGTTACGTAAAATTCTAGACGGACCGCTAAGTGTCGAACGTTTTATTTGAATTTGGGATCATGCTTACTTACTAATATGCTGAAATTATAGAGTTTACAGTGTAGGCTGGGAGTATTTGGAGTGTGCCTTTCTCGTTCTTTGCAAAACAACCGCCAGTTTCCTACAATTAAAGGATATCTTCCGTCTACATGTATGTAAATCTCCAATAGTAAAATGGAGCGGTATATAAAATCACTTTAAGGCAGAACTTTTTGTCGACTAGGGATGCGGAAAATTATAGGGCAAATAGTCGGAAAAATTGTGACTTCAAGGTCTGCAAATCTTTTTATTAAAATTATAACCATCATGGGGCTTACCACGTATTACGCTTCTTTTATTCATTAAAAGGGTTTTGAGGGGAATTTTTTTTTTTTTTATCAGCGAGTCGGCCTAAGTAAGCATATTGTGAAAATAACACTGTGTCCAAATTTCAGTTGGACGTATTTATGCGAAAAGGAGATATGTGCAAGTGGAAAGATGGGGTGTGCTCGTTAGTTGGGCCATAAGAAACAATGTAAAAGTGGATATAGCTCCTTTTGAGAAAATTGAAAAGCGGGATTTGACATTAAATCAAAAGGAGCTAAGCGCCAAAATATGCTAACTCATGAGCCGCGGGCATGGCAAGAGAGCGTTGTGGACAGGGCTCATGAGTTAAAGACACGGATCCGCGGCTCGGAGTCTCCATCGTCGCCGCTGACGTCACTGGC